GATATTATTCTAATTTTTACAAGGCTGCCTAAATGGGAGTGTAATGTTTTCATAATTTTTAAATTGCTCATGTCTATAGGTGACGGTTACCACTTTCCATCAGGTTTAAGTTGTATAAAAAAAAACTTCTTGTAAGAAGCAATTTACAGTGGTACCCTGCACTTTGGTTATGTTTTGTTAAGAGAGGGACTGGCTGAAAACCAGCGCTGTGCACCTGTTCACATTGCGCTGGGACACTCACAGCATCAGCTGAGCCGGTTCCTTTTGCCTAGTACGAGACACTTCTTGTATATGTTATCTATATTTTATATTGCAATTGTGTGTTTACTGGCAATGAATGTTTCTATTCTATTTTTTTTTTATGGGTGAAAATGGTATGGTAACCCCGCCTGCGCTAACGGGATACACTGACGGAGCACTAGTGAAGGGTGATAGATGAGAATGAAAACAGGCCAGTTAGCCCATCATGATGAATTCATCAGGAATTAACCATGATAATTTCCAGGAGAGCCGCGAGGAGGTCGACCTGGTTGAGTATATTGCTAGCAATGGGATACTCAGTCTCCATTACTAACAATCCCTTTCCACCCAACCGTTTCTATTCTATTCTTTATAAAAAAAAAAACAGCGGTGATATATATCTAAGTTTAATATCTCAGTCAAAAAGGTGGTTTTTATGTTAAAAGTTAAATAAATTTTATAAGTCGTTTAATTTAAAATCTTAGTGAATATTAGTGCAGTGTTCATTTCATTCATTTGATTTCATTCATACATGCCAAAATACCAGCTTTACTAAATTGTGTCAAACAGTTTAAAAGCTACACAAACAAATATCGTACCCGTGCGAAGTCGGGGCGGGTCACTAGTAACAAATATTTTGAATCGTCAGCCCGCCATTAAAACTATTTAAGTGTATGCAATAATCAGTGAATGCGTAATAAACAGATAACATAAGGCGAACACTTCCTAACAAATCGACGCCCCACCAATGATAAGGGACAACTAGTGATGTCACTCCGTACACAGTCGATATATCGACAACATTCAGTATCAGTGATGTATTTGTTTAAAAGTTCAATGACCTCCATACAGCTGCTGTTTTTCTTTTAATGGATGATAATGGAATGGTAACCCCACCCGCGCTATCGGTATACATCGGCGGGGCAGCAATGAAGGATGATAGGTTAGGATGAAGTAGGTCAGTTAGTCCATCGTGACGAATTCAACAAGAATTGTTCACGATGGTTTCCAGGGGGAACCACGTGGAGGTCGACCTAATAAGGCATATTGCTAGCAATGGGGCTGTCAAACTCCATTGCCAACAATCCCTTTCCCCCCTACAGCTGCTGTTAGGTAAACATATTGACTTTAATTAAGTTGGTTAAAATTATGGAATAACTTCGTGCGAGCAATGGCAGTGTAGAACGACGACTCACTAGATGGAGCAACGATATTAAGCGTGTTAAAGTTGACTCTTAAGCATTTCTTTTGGGAGTGTAGAAGGAGAGGTATGAATGCAGTAGTGTACAATTATCGGCTAAGATTATTACGTTAATAAAATTAAGTTTTTTTTTTTTTATAAAGTGTATTTTATTTATAATTTTTTCTCTCTAAAAATCTAAATTAAAGTACTAAATACATACTGTATTCTTACAAACATTCACTTTTATAATAACTTATACCATTTTTTCTTGCATTGTATTCTTTATAGAAGCTTTTGATTCCTTTCTGAGATAGTACTGCCTATATGATAAGTATAGGTTAAAATTTCTTAACTTATATAGGAAGCTGACAGGATACTACTTCAGGCTGCAGCTGAAAATCAGTGCTTTGCTTTTAAGCAAAACCATCACTGAGCTGTAGCCTATTTGGGTCACTGCGACACACATGGCGAAACCATATTTTTATATTTTATCTTTTGTTGTATATTTTGAAAAGTGTAAATAATTTAATTGTATAAACTCATTTGTAAGTTTACGTGTGTCATAAATGGCTCAAATAAAAAGTTTATCTATCTATCTATCTATCTACTAAAACCATAGACAATTGTATTGAAACGCAACTTAGGGACTTAACAACACATTACATAGTGAGAAAGTGTACATTAAAAAAATTACATTGACATCTTTCTCAAAAATTACACCCAATAGTGTTCCTTTAAAGGGAAAGTTGGCTAAATATCAGCTGCCATCCGCATTGTGCAGAAAAGGACCTTTTTTCAAAGTACGCCCTATAAATTATCGACAATTCCCATCGAATATTGGCAACACTGCAACAATATCAGAACTTTATACGCCCGAGTCGCGTATTCAGTGTGTCAACCATGCAGTGGGCATACCACAATAATGGTTTTCCTTCTTGCAACTTACCTCGCCGCATCTAACTTGGTTTAGTCACATTAGACGGTCGCGTCTAACATGTTAACGAGAACAGTTTGTGATTGTGATGAAAAAGCGGTCCAGTTTTAGAGATACGAACATGTTCAAATTAGTAAGAGGCAAAACATGGTTCAAGGAGGTACGCAACTTGATTGTAACGCCATCTGTGTTTAAATAATTTGATCGTTGATTTAATTACACTTGATATGTGTATTTTTTTTTTCTTTTTTTTTTTTAATAATATTTACGGTGATCAAATATTAATATAGTTCTCTATCTGTGGATAATTAATATATGTATATGTACTATAAAGGTGGTCTCCGTGTGGTACAGAGTAATAACATGATGTGTCATTTTTTTTTTAATTCCCAGTAATAAAACACGACTTGGGAATACCATAATCTATATACAATAATATATGAAATAGGAATACATCAGCGCGATAGAAAAAGAAGTCTCATACCTCATGAGTGTGTGGGTAAGACCTATGCCCACAAGTGGGACGTCACTGGGTCGTTCATGATGTTGAATCAATATGATTGTGCGTTGTATGGAACAATGAAATACTCTGTTATCTCGCCGTTATCAGATAATATGTGGCATATGTACATGAAAACACCATTTTGTTCTATTTGTATTGTAATTCTATAGAAACCATACCAATTGTAATTAATTACACTTGTTTACGTTGAATATTTTGCCCTAACTGGGAACTTTAGTGCTGTAATGTTATTAATTAACGCCCGACTCGAAAATGAAAAGAGGTGATAGGTGAGGATGAAACGGCAGGTCAGTTAGCCCATTGTGACGAATTCAATGATAAATTAGTCACGATAGTTTCCAGGGGGAACCGCGTGGAGGTCGACCTGATAGGGTGTATTGATAGCAATGGGGACTAACTTCCCCATTACTAACAATCTCTTCCCCCACGTTTGATTAAGTAGGTATGATAATATTGTATAATTAAGAAAATTAACGGAAAAAAGGAGTTTCCTGTATTGTTTTGTATTATAGTGAACGGTTTCAGAGACGTTTCTATTTGTGAACACTGCTGACACTAAATAGCGTCGCCGGCCCCCCATAACACTACGACATTACATTAGAAACCTCTTATTAGTGTTTCTCTACTATATTATACATGTATTATACATATAAACCTTCCTCTTGAATCACTTTATCTACAAAAAAAAACCGCATCAAAATCCATTGCGTAGTTTTAAAGATCTAAGCATACATAGAGACATACAGACGAGAATCGACTTTGTTTTATACTATGAAGTGATAATAGTCTATCTATATTTATATCTATTCGTATATCCGTCAGTAACATGTTTAATATTTATTTACTTACTATCCATTTCCCGCGGCGTTGCCCGCTTCTAACTATGTAGTTCCCATATATATAATTCCCATTGGAACTCTTCATGAATCCGGTCTTATATTGTATTATATACTTAAATGATAATTACGTACCTAATACCTTCATAATGTTTCAGCCAATTCGATTGATTGTTTATTTTATAGCATTGTGACACTACAGCATAATGCTGAGCACGGACCTCATTTTGCAGGTATTGCGACGCACGCACACATACACTCATTTTGGATGAAACTGTTATAATACGATTTGTTTTTTTTTTTCTTTTTTATTTTATATTCTTTTTATATATATATATAAATATTGTGTGTAGTTTCGTTGGTATAATTCTTAATATGTGAAATTTTTTTTTAACTCCTGTGTGGGTGTTGTCGCATCTTTCTTTCTTTCTTTCTTTTCTTTCATTGTATATGTGATTCTTTAGACTGATATAACTTTTTTTATATTTTCTTTATATAAATAAAAAAGTTAAATTTAAATCACTTAACCAGGTTAAAGCATAAATTGTTCAAATCGTCATTGTACATCGACTCAATTACGTTGCAACGTGCCATCACGACCAGGACAATGGCATTTTCCTCAATTAATGGCACTATGTTATACTTTTATATTAAAAATATAGGTATAAAATATTTGTTATTATGTAAGAGTCAATTAATTAAAAGCTTTTGGAGTATTTGAGGTCATTTCATATTGGTATAATAAAATAAAAAAAAATATCACCATGTGTGCCCTGGCATAGAATAGGCCATCCCTTCCTTTCCCGTGGGTGTCGTAAGAGGCGACTAAGGGAGGACGAGGGATAGGCAGCAATGTTCCTCTTAAAATATCTCTAAAAGCCTAACTGCGGTTGCCAACCCGCCTGCCAAGCGTGCCAACTACTGGCAAACATCCCTTATGTGGAAAACTTATGTCCAGCAGTGGACAGTGTACAAGAAACGTCAAATAATTCTAAGTAGAAATTTATTAAAATCCTCGGTGTCCTGTCTAAATTGAAAATTAATTTTTTTTTTGTCAAACGTCAGGTATAACGAAGGCAGCCTTGAAACTCTTGCTCTTAGAGGGCAGGCACCTTCATACAAGTAGTATTAGTTATTTAGTAGACACAGTATAAACTCTGGTTAGTCTGGGTCCAGGACCTTATTTTAAGTCATGAAAACAATCCATTGTTCGAGGACTCGAGGTTCTTAAGTATTCACAGCCTCTATTCTTTTCTATCACGCCATCCTGCTTGTTTGTTCCAGGAGAGCCTACAAGATCCCGTGAAGTCGCGGCAGTACGACTGGAGTCCATCATCAGAGCGCAGCCGGGCTGACATCGACCGGAGTTTCAGCAAGGCGAGCTCTGACAGTCCACCGTTTGGACGTATCAATAAGAGATTAGGTGAGTTCTTCTAACATAACATGTTAATTTAGATTCTAAAAGCATAGTTGGAATGGTAATCCCGTCTGCGCTAACGGGATAGGCTGGTGGAACACCAGTGAGGAAGGATAGATGAGGATGATAAGGTAAATCAGTTAGCCAATCGTGAATACCCCTGGAATACCTGGTTTTGTATCTCCTTTGGAAAACACACTCTGTGTCCTGAGGAGATAAAAAACGTCGCTACAAAAAAACATCTGAAAACTCCCACCATTGATAGGAATTAGCAGTGAACTTTAAATAAGGGTTGAGTACAAAAGATCATGGAAAGGTCGCAGTGTCGCAGATTATTCTGCCTGAAAAATCTCGTCTTTCAATAATAATAGATCAGTCACTTCCCTTAGTCGATTCTTACGACATCCACGGGAAAGGAAGGGGCAGCCTATTCTATGCCGGGACGACACGGCAAATTATAATAATAACAGCATTAATATAATAATTACAGGAAACTCAACGGAGACGCTTCTCTTCCACAACAATGTTCGGAGACCAAATCAGCTCCACCTGCCGGCGTCCTCGTCCGGGGACAGCTTGGACGTGGAGATCAGGGAGCGGGAGCCGAGCCACAGCAGGAGTAGGAAGTCGAAATCCATGATGGCCACGAAGAACAGGATGAGGTCACCTGTACCGGCTCCCAGGCTGATGCTGCATCAAACGCCTGAAGTAAGCATTCAGCAAACTATATTTTTAAGTGACTTCCAAAAGAAGACGGCTCTAAACACGCCTGATATAGACGACATATGAATGTGTGCCGGGTTTGCTTGCCTAAACTAATATTATAAAAAGACTTGATTGTTTGTTTGTAATGTATAAACTCAAAACTACTTAACTGATTTTAAAAATACTTTCAATTATAGAAATCTACATTATCTGCTAGTAAGTAATAAGGGCTATCCACTGCTGTATATAGGTCTCCCCCATGAAGAGTTTTATTAATTGTTGCACGCTTGGCAGGCAGGTTTTTTTTTAATGAGTGATAATGGAATGGTAACCCCACCCGCGCTCTCGGTATACACCGGCGGGGCACCAGTGAAGGATGATAGGTGAGGATGAAGCAGGTCAGTTAGTCCATCGTGACAAATTCAACAAGAATTGTTCACGATGGTTTCCAGGGGGAACCACGTGGAGGTCGACCTAGTAGGGCATATTACTAGCAATGGGGCTGTCAAACTCCATTGCCAACAATCCCTTTCCCCCTGACAGGCAGGTTGCCAACTGCAGTTAGGCTTTGGTAATGTTTTTTTATAGGAACGCTACTGCCCATTCCTCGACCATTAAGTTTCATTAGTCGACTCTTACGACACCTCCGCGAATGGAAGGAGTTGATTATTCTACGTCAGGACCATACAGTACGGTCTTTAATATATAAAAATAGAAACACCATTTAAAAAACAAATTCAAATGGTAGAGAATAGGCACGTGTTACAGTGTATCGTTGCTGTGAAGCAGCTGTACTTGCATGGCTGTATTTCGGTTTGAACAGTGGGGTATGGCAGTAACATTACAGGGTACGAAGGCATAACATTTCAATCTGGGAGAAAAGGGACTGTTAGTAACGAAATTTAACTGCCTTATAATGCCCTACAATATACCGTATTAGATCTACCTCCAAATGGTTCCCCCTGGTAACCATCGTGGTTAATCTTGATTGGGGGAAAAGGGATTGTTAGTAATGGAGACTAAGAATCCCATTGCTAGTAATATATCCAACCAGGTCAACCTCCTCGCGGTTCCCCCTGGAAACTATCATGATTAATTCCTGATGAATTCATCATGATGGGCTAACTGGCCTGTTTTCATCCTCATCGATCACCCTTCACTGGTACCCCGCCAGCGTATCCCATTAGCGCAGGCGGGGTTACCACTCCATTTTTATCCAATAAAAAAAAGTACATCGTGATGGCCCATTTGGCCTGTTTTCATCCACTTCTATCATCCACCACTGGTGCCTTGCCACCGTATACCGATGGCATTGGCGGGATCACCACTCCATTATCATCAATTAAAAAAAAACACATGAAAGTCCCAAGAACGCATAGGGTCTACCGTGACCACCAAAATGTATTTTATAATTTCGACGGTCATTATAAGTACCTATCATAAATAAAAAAGGTCGTTTACCACGTTGAATTCTATTCGGCGAAATTCGGCAACAGTCGACAAATGTTTCTGACTACTCCATCAGCAATTTTAGTCATTATATTATAATTTCAGTTGTTAATAGTCCACTGCTGGACATAAGCCTTCCCCATAAAGGGAGTTTTGCTAATAGTTGCCACGCTTAGCAGGCAGGTTGGCTTAAGATGTTTTAAGAGGGACGCTGCTTTCCTTTAGTCGCCTTTGACGACACCCACGGGAAAGTAAGGGGTGGTCCGTTCTATGCCGGGGCACACACTCTTTATTTATTATATATATTACAGTGTAAAATCTTATTATTTGTTTCTTTCCTCCGCAGTTGCCTGTAGTGTTCGAGGGTCCAGTGAAACGCACCAAGTTCTCAGAGAACGGGAAGAAGAGTAGGAAAAACTGGGCCGACTGCTACGTGGTGCTCACGCATACTGGACTTGTGTTTTACAAGGACAGAAAGACTTACATTGCTGCTGTAAGTACGAGTATACAATGCTATCACAATTATATTACACCTATATGATGAATTCATCAGGAATTAACCATGATAGTTACCAGGGGGAACCGCGTGGAGGTCGACCTGGTTAGTTATATTGCTAGCAATGGAAGTTTTAGTCTCCATTACTAACAATCCCTTTCCCTCCGGCAAACGCAGTGTAAGACGAGACCCACTAGATGGAGTACGGCCTCATAGGTATTGCAGGGAGTCACTGGATGTAGGTGGCTCAGGACTACAGGCCTTAACATTAGCAAATTTAAAATAAATTTACAGGGGAGTTTAGATCTTTAAAAAAAACATATATTTACTGTCAGAGGTATTGTTTGCGTATAGCTGAGAGGTCCGGTCGGATCCTGTGGTGGACACGGAAACCATATTTAATGCCAGGCGAATTAATCACGACAGTTGACTGACCTGCTTTCATTCTCACCTATCATCTCTCACTGATTCTCCGGCAGTGTATACCGATAGCTCAGGCTATATGGCCTATTCTAGTTTCGTCCCATAACAAAAAACAACTAACTAACTAACTGAACATAAGTCTCCGCCTTGGGGGGTTTTGCCAGTAGTTGCCACGCGTGGCAACTACTGGCGAATGGAGGAATGAAGGTGAATTGGCAACCGCAGTTAGGCTTTAGAGATGTTTTAAAAGGGACGCTGCTGCCCATCCCTCGCCCTCCCTTAGTCGACTCTTACAACATCCACGGGAAAGGAAGGGGTGGCCTATTCTATGCCTATTCTATTCACATTATTGTACGTATGTATATCTCTATATGTTGTTAAAATAACGACCAGGTCGTGCCTCCAGTCAAACTGTTTATAATTACTCCTCTCCATCCAAAGGTTGCCTGCAAAAGATCGCTCTTAGCGATAAGGCCGCCCATTTTTTATGCAGTGTAATATTTTCATGTAATTGTTTGTATTTATAATAAGTTTACTATTATAATTTTATGGAGGAAACAATAAAGAGTGTCTATCTATTTATCTATCTATGTCAGCTGCCTGGAAGGAAGCCAGTTGCAGTGCTCTGTTATTTATTATATTTATTTATTAGACGCATTAAACAGATCATAACCATAAAAAAACTTAATTAGTAATTACAATCCAATTACATTTTGTACACAGTATGTATGTGTGTGTGTGTGTATATATATATATATATATATATATATATATATATATATATATATATATATATATATATATATATATATGTAAATTCACGCCATAAACCACCCTTCAAACCGAAACACAGCCCTGCAACACAACTGCTACACGGTAGAAACACGAATGGAACAGAGGTACCCAAGCAATTGACTTTTGTACAAAGTCTCCCTCTGGTAGAATATAAATATATCATGTTAAACTTGCAGACTACGCCTCCGAAGCCGGGCACGCCGCCGAGTCCGACGGCGCCGCGGGCGGAACTAGTGTTGCCGCTACGACACGCCAGCGTAGACTATTGCATGCAGATGCACACCAGAAGGTGGGTACCTAAGAACAAAGAATAACATAGAAGGAATGATAAAATAAAAACCGAAAATCATATGACATGGGGGGTATCACGGGCGAAACAGTATACTCTGTTATGTCCATGGTACTGCTCGTGTCTATAGGCGACGGTTATCACTTACCATCAGGCGGTCCGTCAGCTTGTTTGCCATTTTAAGTGGCATAAAAAAAGTCTTTAACTGTCCATTGCTAAACAATAATAGTATAGATTGCCAATCTATACGGAAATTTGTTTAGGATTAGATAAAACCAGTACTAATAATGCCTTTATCGCTCAACTAAGACTGCAGGTTTTGTTTCTTGGCCGCTTAAAAATATATATCCGGGTTTTCCAGTAATAACAAAATATGTTTATATCTTTTTTTATTAATGGGTGAAGGTAGAATGGCAAGTCCGCTTGCGCTAACAGTATACACTGGTGGGGCATCAGTGAGGATGATAGGTGCGGATGAAGCAGGTCTGTTGGCCTCTTGAGAGAAGACACCTGCTCGTACGTGTGAGTGCGAAAGCGAACCCATGTCTCCGACATATGGCACCTCGAGGGTATATCGTCTGGTTTTTGGTGGGTACACTCCCACCTTACGGAGGGATTCTCACAGTACCCATTCACCCCCTACAAGGTGTATGGGTCTGCATAAAACATTTTACAGACGATAAAAAAAAAAGGTCAGTTGGCCTATCATGATGAATTCAGCACGAATTAACCATGATGGTTTCCAAAGGAACGGCGTGGAGGTTGACATGAAAGGATATACCTTTTCAGGTCGATATATTGCTTGCAATGGAAGTTTTAGACCATTGCAAGTTTGGAGATGTTTTAAGAGGGTGTCCTGGCATAATATAGGGCACTCCTTGCTTTCCTGTGAGTGTCGCAAGAGGCGACTAAGGGAGGGCGAGAGATGGGCAGCAGCGTCCCTTTTAAAACACCTTTAAAGCCTAACTGCGATTGCCAGTCCGCCTGCCAAGCTTGGCAACTACTGACAAAATCTTCCAAGAGGAAGGCTTAGGTTCAGCAGTGGACAGCTAAATGATGATTATAAATAATTCAAATTTTGTATAGGTATACAAAATCACTGCTGATCACAGTGGGCCGTGACCAGTACCTGATACAGGACGAGTCTGAAGCCAACGCCGCGACCTGGTTGTATCACATAAAGCAAATCATTTACAAAATGGTAAGCATTTTTTCTTCTATTTTACAGAAGGGTCGATTCTGAAGCACTATTATCTAAGGATCAATATGTGTTAAAATTCTATAATTAATATCCATTCGTGTTTCAACCGTAAACAGTTGTGTTTGCATGGCTGTGTTTCGGTTTGAAGGGTGGGATATGGCGTGAATCTACAGGGTACAGAGGAATAACATCTGAGTCCTCAAGAATAGAAACGCAAGGGGAATGTCATGGGCGAAACAGTATGTGTGTGTACTGTTATGTCCATGGTACTGCTCATGTCTATAGACGACTGTTACCACTTTCCATCAGGTGGGCCGTCAGCTTGTTTGCCATTCTAAGTTGTATAAAGAAAATATTATTATTGAAATAGAGTCTTTTTTTTTTCAGACAGAAAAGCCTACGACCTTTCCATGATCTTTTGTGCTCGCCCTTTTTAGAGTTCGCTGCTAATTCCCATCAGTGATAGAAATTTTAAGATGTTTTTTGTAGCGATGTTTCCCTTCTTCTCACGATATAAAGTGTATTTTCCAAACGAGATATATCGTTTATGTATGAGTGGGATACAGCCACAAATTAGGTGCTGCGGCGTTTCTTCCTCATTGTGACAAAATCTGCAAACACTTTTTGCATAAACCTAGTTAAGCCATGTGCTTCTTTAGTTTACATTAAAATTTTATTAAAGTCAAATTTATTAGAAATTTTGTTTATTATGGTCCAATAAAAGTAAATTTTGTGAAATTATCAAACAAAATACAAGGTTAAAAGATAAATTTACTAAAATGGTGCCTCAGAATTGACCTCTATATATTTCGTCATAGTCGTAGAATACTGACGGATCTGACAAATATTACACATATAGATCCGTCAGTATTCTACGACTATGACGATATCTTCTAAATATGAGTTTTAACTAGGTGTGGGCAATATAAAGCAATAGCTATATATTTTAATTACGATATCTACATTTATACTGGTCCAGTTGTGAATATGTTAAAAGTCTGTTATCCAAAAAATAATATTAGACAACAGGTTTTTAATATATTCGACAATAGATATCCGACCGATATGGGTGATATCGAAATGGGTGATGACCTTATTTCAGTGGAACCCAATATATAGATATCGGATCGATATCCATATTACCCATGTCGAGTTTTAACATAAGTCAGATTGAATTGATCTTGTGATAACAATACGAGCACTTTTACACAGGGTCCTCCAGCGCCTGATGACTTCTCACTACAAATAGCAAACAAGAATAGCAGCACGGATCTGGAAAGCTTGGGCAGAACGCCACCTCCATCCAGGCATAATAATAGGAACAAAACAAAAGGTAGGTCAAAAATTACAGATGTATTGCACTCATTATATTTATACAACTTGGTAATGATTTTACCATTACTTGGTAAAATAATTAACTCACATCTAGTTATTATTAATTCGTCAAGATTCAAAAACTGACGCTGTACAGTCAAATCGTTTCATCGATCTGTTTCATTGAACAAGAAATTGGAATCTGCAACAGCGGTACAAGGTAATTTAGGTTTTTTATCTAAATTTAGTAATACGTTGTCGATTCGAGTAATAAAGAGAAGATGAAGAATTATAATAAGAGAGTTGTACAACTAAATGTGAGTAGTTATGTTTTACATTATTTTCTATTTGTATATAAATAATAATAATAATAATTTAAAAAATTGCATAGGTCCCATCATTGACCCTTGAGGTACACCTCCATTATAACAATTGTTACCCCGAGCTTTAGCTACTAAATTATTTTTTATAAGCACTTATTAATTAATAGAGCATACCATAAAAAGTCCATTATAAAAGTAACAATTAAACGTATCGTTTCGAAAATTTTGATAATATTGGATTCCAAATTTTGGCATCTAGAAATACGAGTAGATCCAATACATACTACGAGAACCTTTTGATTTTCCGTTTATAACCTTTCTTTAGTACTGAATAACGATGAAAATGAGTTATTGAAGTCGCTGGCGGAAGACCCAAAAAAAAAAACCAATTTTATAAATATAACTAAATTTAATTCTAAAATTATTTATTACAATAATAGGTGCCTTCAGATCGATGTGTGATCTGTAAGTGAAGTCATATCGAATCAAACATAAAGGAAATGCGTATTTTTGCTGTGGGAATCGAAATGCTGACTCGACGCAGGTGTCTTTCTCGGTAGCGCACCTTCTTGCATCATGCTAGGTGGTCCGATCCGATCGCCGTTGAGGGTGTGTCGTAATACTTGATAGGTATCTACTGTAACCACTGTCAAAACACAAATACATAAATAAACAAACATTGACTATTTCCTATTCCCTTTGGCCGCAACAGAATACCAGTGCTTTGCCCTTTTGAGGGCGAAGCAATGAGCTGAGTTGTGACCATTTTGTATTGTTATGGCACACGCATAAAAGAAAATTGTGCTTGGTTTTCTGTTTATTTTTTTTTAATCATTTATGTTATCTCGTTTTTATGTATATGTTATAATTTGTGTGCTGTATGTAATGCAAATAGATTATCTATCTATCTATCTATCTAGCATATTTTATTGAAACTTCTTTGTGGCCGTAATGTAAATTTAAGTCTGGCCACATATATATGTTGATATTATTTTTCTACACGGTTTTTGTTTCTATTCAAATGGTTGTCTCGTCTTGTATCTATACGTATATATATATATATATATATATATATATATATATATATATATATATTGTTGTTTTAAAGAATATTATCTTTCACTGTGACCCTCTACATATTTTATATAAAGAATTATCGGGTCCAAATGCGAGGTAATGTTGGCAATTTAGTGAAAGATTAAGAGATATCCAGCATAATCAAATTGGTGTAGGTTTAAATTACTAATGGAATTAGTCATTATAAATGTGCAGGTTGACGTTCGATGTAATTGAATTGTAATCGAATGAAAATCAACGTACAGACGTGGCGTTATATTTGATGTATATTTGATATTATTTCGATATGATACCAAATCAACTGCGTTGGATTATTTATGCATCATAAACAATTTAGTACTGATATGATTTATTATCACTGTATTATATTATTAACACAATTTAATATCATAATCATCATATATATATATATATATATATATATATATATATATATATATATATATATATATATCCCCTTTAGACATGAGCAGTATTATGGACACAACAGAGTATACTGTTTTGCCCATGATACCCCCATGCGTTGCCATACCTGAGGACTCAGGTGTTATTCCTCTGTACCCAGTAAATTCACGCCATATCCCACCCTTCAAACTGAAACACAGCCATGCAAACACAACTGCTTCACGGTTGAAACACGAATGGGACAGAGGTACCCAAGCAATCGACTTTTGTACAAAGTCCCCTCTGGTAAATATAATGAATATGAAACAAACTCCTTATTTGCTCGAATATAAATATACATTGACGTCAATTAAAATGTACAAATCTTGAATGATTACGTCATGACATCATTTAGTAATATATTTATTATTTGTTTTTTTTTTTCATCTATGTAATATTTTTGCAATAAGTACAAAATAATTTAATTATCTATGTCTACATACCATACCATGTTAGCCATTGTACAGTCCACTATGGAATTGTGTACTTACCACGCTCAGCTGGCAGATTAGCAACCGCAGTTAGGCTTTAGTGATGTTTTAAGAGAGACGCTGCTGCCCATCCTTTGACTATTACCTTAATCGCCTCTTACTGTGCCCATGGTAAAGAAAGAGGTGGCCCATTCTTTGCCGGGACCACACGGCAAATAATTGAAGTATAGACGTACCTATGTCATCATCATCATCATACCAGCCTTGAACTGTCTACCGCTGAACATAAGCCTCTCCCGGCGGGATAGGGGGGATTGTCAGTAGTTGTCACGCTTGGCAAGCGGATTGGCGACCGCAGTTAGGCTTTAGTGATGTGTTACAAGGGACTCTGCTACCCATCCCATGCCCTCCCATAGTCGACTCTTACGATTCCATGCCGAGACCACACAGCGGACGTACTTATGTATAAAACATTAATTACAATTTAAACCAACAATAAAATGTAACGTTTTCAATTTCGTTTTTTTTTTATACCACTTAGAATGACAAACAAGCTGACGGTCCACCTGATGGAAAGTGATAACCGTCGCCTATAGACATGAGCAGTACCATGGACATAACAGAGTATACTGTTTCGCCCATAATACCCTCCATGCGTTGCTATACCTGAGGACTCAGGTGTTATTACTCTGTACGCAGTAAATTCACGCCATATCCCACCCTTCAAACCGAAACACAGCCATGCAAATATAACTGCTTCACGGCTAAAACACGAATGGGACAGAGGATTCGTAAACGCAATATCAAAAACCAGAAGTACTAATTGAGTTATTGTTAATTATATTGAAAAATATAATAACTACCCATTTAACTATTGTTTACATTCAGTTTTCCTAGTTCGAGTGACGAATCATTCTCAGTATTGTGACTTTAGTTTTCCTCAATCAGTCGTTCCTTGCCACTGTAGCAACGACTTCTTTTAATATTGCATTTAAATTCGTGTATTTCATTTGTTCACTTGTTTTATAGTTTGTCAATTAAGAATTGGTTTCTTTATTGTAAAATTTAACTTTTTCTACATCGTTGATTTCATTAATGTTTGTGTTGAATTTGTTACGATACTAGATAGATTTAATTCTATTTTTTTCTAAACAGTTGGTTGTTTAAGTTTGTACTCGTACGTTTAAAAGGTGAAAGTGTTTAACAGAAGAGATTCCATTGCAATAATTAAAATTTGCTCAGTAACACGATCTATTGGAGTTATTACTCGGACGTCTTCATTATGCTCATTCGTTAGTGCATGCTACACCGTTGTATATCTTCAATATTTTATAATAATACTTGATAATCCACTTGTACAGTGCTCTAAGAAAGTTTGTCTGTGAATCGTTGGTGTTGTCACATTGAAAATGACCGTGCTCTGTGGATGTATGTCCGAAGGATTCCGGCGTTTCAATTCGTGTAAGTTATTTTATAATTTTATCGAGTGCTAGAGTATAATATTCTGTAATAATTCCTACTTCAATTAAACTCTCACTATTGGTAACAATATCTAGTTTTCGCTCTTGTAATTGTGTATTTTGTTTTATGTTGTTTCTCTAATCGTCTTTTACTATAGCTTTTGGATTAAAAGGGAAGGAACGACACATTTTATTCTACTCCGTTAGAGCGCAGCAAAGGCAAGCTACTGTGAATTTTGTTTCCGAAATTCCAGAGTCGAATGATGACGAAACAATAACGTCACGTTAAAATAATGCAAAACGTCGTCAAAATGGCACTTTTTTGTCCGAACGTAGCTTATAGTTAGTTGGTTTATGACTAATAAAGCATTCCTCTCCTTACACTTCTTATTTCGATGTATTGTATTGTAAAATCTTTATTGTACATATTTTTTATTTATTTCGAATTAGGCACACCAACAGTATACATATTATACATAAATTAAAAAAAATTTTTTGTGTACAATGCTGATATGCATACATATGGCAGGCGTACACAACATTGACTACAGATTACATGCATATAAATGTCATAATATAATTAATATAATAAATTAAAATTATAATGGATGGATGAAAGAAGAATTATGAAAGAGATTTATCGAGCAAGAATGAATGGAGATGTCGGTAGGGGCCGCCCTAGACGGACGTATGTCGACCAAATAGGCGACGTGCTGATGAAGGGCCAAATTAAAAGTACCCATAACCGGCGAGCGTGTATGAAAAGATTGATGAATGTGGAAGAAGCGAAAGAGGTTTGTTTGAATCGAAGCATTTGTCGTTCCATTGTTTCTGCCTACCCTATTGGGAGACAGGCGTGACAGATATTTATATTTATTACAAAATTCAATTAAGTATTAAATACATAATTGATATTGGACACATTAAAAGATTTAATATACAATGACAGACTTATTCCATAAAGGGATATCTATATATCTATATGTAACGTATATGCAAGACATTTGGGTCTGAAGCTTCGGAATTACGTGTTTCATGGTAGACATGATGGTTATGTGCGTGTGGATTTCGTTATGACATATTGATTATTATGTTTTTGTTTGAACGTAATAGATTTATCTAATCGTGTACTTTCGTAATATCACGTCTACATTTTTCTTTTCTGACAGGGTAAAAGCCGACAAGCGGAAAGCAACGAACGTTGTTGATAATTCGAATAAGAGAAATGTTATTGTATTTATTGCAAACGTGTTGCTTATAAAATAGCGTCCAAATATCGGTTTAAGCGTTTGGATCTAAGGTTCACGTTAACATTAAGGTGTTTGTAAACGGTCAAGCGGTTTGAATCAAGCACATAGATTGTAGCTTGATTCAATAATGATAGATCATTTATTCATCGCTTATAGATATGAGCAGTATCATGGGCATAACAGAGTATACTGTTTCGCCCATGATACCCCCTCTGTACCCAGTAAATTCACGCCATATCCCACCCTTCAAACCGAAACACAGCCATCCAAACACAACTACTTCACGGTTGAAACACGAATGGGACAGAGGTACCCAAGCAATCGATTGTGACGCAAGCACAAACCTGACTCGTTCATGTCACAGTAACTTACTTATTTATATATATAATCATAAACAGAAAAAGAAATAAAAGGATACATATAAAAAAAAAAACAAACGGAAAATACATAAAAGTAACATAATTTTTTATTTCATTAGCATACCACAGTAACACAAAATGTTCTCAACTCAGTTTATTGCTTTGCCCTCGAAAGAGCAAAACACTGATACTCTGTAATGGCCAAAAGCCGAATAAATATCATTGTTTTGCTCTATATAGTTTGTTAGTATTATTATTTTCATTTATTTCAGAGATATGACAATATCGAGTTGCGATTAAAACTTGATAATGTCTCTATCAGGTAGATTAACGACCATAATGTTCTTAATTACTGCAGTAGTGGTACAATTGTGAAGCAATCAACTGGTGTACTATGTTTCCCACAATAATAAATAGAACTTATAAAATATACAAGTGTAGTGCAAGAACTATATTGTGAGATTGTGTTGTAATTTATGGGGAAATGGATGGTCAAACAATGGTGTTAACAACAGGTGAAGTGCCTGTACCGGGTCCAAAGGCAAACCCGGTGAAGCACCGTCCCTCAAGGTTGAACAAGTTTCTGAGATCTCATCACTTGTATAGAAAAAGTTTTATTCTACGTATGTTTTATTTTATTAATTTAATATATTTTTGTTTTTTTTTTTTATTATTATTATTTTTTTATTAAAGGAACAACAATCTAACGTAATTAGATACGTCAAATTCGCATTAAAATTTGACTTCAATTAAGCCGTATTGTGATTTTCATTTAAAAACAACTATTAAATTATTTTAGACTGATTTAATACATATTACCTACTTATAAGTACTTGCAAATGTTTTTAATTTAATGTCCTTAATGGGAAATACTAAGATTCTATGTCACCTATAGAGCTACCATAGATTAGGAATTATTATACAGGCATCCACGCATCCGCCATGTTGAATTTATATCAATGTCACGTGTTTTATGACAATTTCAATATTTTAGTAGAGCATATTCGAAAGTCTACGAGAAAGAGATGCAATTATAGGGAATGGTAACTAGATGAAGCGAGATACCAACATAGTAAATGTGATTTAGTTGATTCGTATAAACTTTTGCTTGAATTGTTAACACCTCACTTTCTGTTTTACTTATTATAGATGGGTAATATATACTAATATATATATATTGCACTATCTATATATTAGTCCAATAACGGATGTAGTAAATGTCGGTTATTCAATGCCTAAGGTCGATATGAAAAACCCAGACGAAATCAACGTGGATATTCGACTAGTGTCGGCGATACCGAAATGGGTGATGTTCGTTTTTCCTCTATAATATTTCGAGGAACTTAATATACAGATAACGGAGTGGTACCGATATTATACATGCCTATTATTATAACTTATCGCGGTTAGCGGTGTAAATGACATAATTAGTGCGACCCATGATCAATATCATGGACAGACATTTATTTCCAACAATGCCAGGGATTTATTTAAGTAATTTTACCGTTCCAGGTAAAAAATATCTTTGCCACCTTTTTAACCTCATTTTTGTCGTTCTGAGCATTTGCCCGCCTTTTCTCATATTATACCCATTTTCTATTTTCTCTGCATATCTGTTCCAATCTTACGTGATTAAAAAAAAATTCTTCAGGTCATATGATATATTTAATATGGAGGTTCCTTAGCCAAAGGTGAGTCAATAATAAATAAATAAATGAGTCATCAATCTGTTTACCATCATCGGTACTACATTGCGTAGTAGTAGACACGTTGCTTTAACCCTTAAAAGCCTGATTTTTTAAATCAAATTAAAAAATATATAAGTGTACCCTTTACTGTTTACTAATGGGAAAAAATAGTTAAAAAAAAAAATCAAAACGATATTTTTATATATTTATTTTGAAAAAAACATTTGGTAACACGTAAACAGCCAAATATTAAAGTAAAATCGATTGTAGGCGCCCAATGCGATTTATAACCCCGGTATCAAATTTGAAACTTCAAATGATGTGTAAGTTCGAGTCCAGGTTGAATCAATTTCGATTTTTTTTTAATTGTCTCAACTTCGGGCATTTGTGTCTACTGCACGAGTAAAATAACAAATCGGCCGATATCGCTGTCTCATTCTGTCTCTTTCATACAGTAGCGAAAATAATGGATGACTGGAAATTATTATGTTTTTATTCTATAGAATTAATTAATATATTTTTTAAACTATATTGAAGCCATTGAATATAAAAAATATATTAAAAAAAATGGCATTTAGTCGTTTCTTTCTTTCTACTTCATCTTTATAAATTACTAGCTGTATCTCGTGGCTTTGCCCGCGTGAATCAGTATTTAAAGTATTCTATGTGCTAAATTGCCATGTGGTCTCGGTATAAAATAGGCCACCGCTTCCTTTCTCGCGGGTGTCCTAAGAGGTCACCAAGAGAAGGCGAAGAATAGACAGCAGTCTCTCTTATTACTTTTTATTCCACGCGGGTATAACCACAATACTATTAGCGGATAATAATGATAAAGGCGGTTATGAAATAATCTATATATATATTGATATACATATACATATATGTATATATCAAAGATCTCACAGTCACAGACTGCGGTTTACTGTCCTTTACTGACCATAGTCCTAGGGGGGGGGGGGGGGGATTACCAGTAATTGCCACACTTGGTAAACGGACCGCAGTCAGGCCTTCGTGATATTTTAAAAGCGATACTGCTACCTATCATACTTTAGTCGTCTCTTACGATACCGACGGGACAGAAAATGGTGGCCTTTTCTATACTGGGATCACACGGTGAAAAGTCCCATAGTTTACACTTATGCCAATTTATTTTCAATGCTTTTTCGCTAACAATATCGCCAAAAGAATTTATGTTATATTGCACATATCTGTCTAAGGTGTTGAAGACATTCGTATTATAACTGCTTGGTATCGATTTAGCTAGATATATAGCTATGGATAAGAACTCCATTTAATTTGATATAACATTTCAATTCTACAGAGACACAACTACTAACAGATCTTAAATTAGAACGATGTAGCAAGCACGACAACTTTAACTTATCATCGATGACGATAACACTTATCTTTCTCACACACAAAAATCATCATACATTTCTCACATGTTGCATTCGACAGTTTGAATCGTGCACGTTTTGCATCAAAACATTTTAGTGTCAATGCGATACAGTGATATATTGTAATATTAAATCAAAAATTTGTGCAAAATTAAAAGGACTCCCTTGCAAGGTAATTAATCAAACGTTTACTATTATAGTGAAATGTCTTAATCAATTGAAAATGTTTTAAATGTTTGTCAATAATCTAAATCTTCGTGCAGTGTGCTGATTCCATTCATCTCTTGTGATACCGTTTGTAAATTGTATTTAACATCGTTATCAGTGTTTGTATTTTATCTGTAGATGTTACGATTAAATACACTCTTGAATTTTATCTTGGCTACAGAATTGTTATGGTTCTTTAAAACGAATTTCATCTATTGTTCTTTTTTAAATACATTGGACTTGTTTTTTTTACTATTTCAAATGTTAAACATTATTACATTCAAACTGTTTATAATAACACTGCAGATGTTAATTGATAGTAAGAAATAAATGCTTAATGTTTATAACCTATTATTTTCTGTCCTCTATAGCTTTGTTGGGTAACAATTCTTTCAATTTCTTTTAAATATCTTCATCTCTGTCAACTTTCACTTTTTCTAATCTTCTCCTATGTGTACGCTCTTCTACTTTCTGTACTTTAAAGAACTCTTGACTTACAGTCGGTGGCAGCAGCAATGAAGATCTCAGCGACTCCACGGAAATATCCATTCAGAAGACACAAGTGAAGAGTAGATTGAAGAAGTTCTTCGCTAAACGGCCAGCTATGGAGGTCCTTGTCAAGAAAGGCATCTATAAAGGTTGGGATAGCTATTAAACTGGTGTGTGTTGCTTTAGCTATTTATAATGCACCATGGTTGGAGTGTATTTAATATATTAGAATAACATAGAATGGTTGGTGTACTCATATTATTTGATTTAAGAATAAACCTGTCTTTTATGTAGATATAACTGGCTTTTTCATCAGAGGTATACTAAAATTTGACGGCGTAGTGTAGTGTAGTGCAATTATGATTTGTCAGTCTTAGCTACATTCTGCTTTTACTAACGACTACGCAAAACCTGGAGAATCAATGAGAGAAGATACCTGGATATATAATTAATGGTGTTTATTTGGAAATAACATTGGTGTGGTTTTATATCAATAATGCCAGAAGATTATAAATAGTTATATAATTTTATTTGGAAATATGGTGGAATACAAAAGTTAGTCATATATTACAAGGAATGTAGCTTGTTCAGATTACAGAGAAAGATAGATAAGAGGAAATATAGATTTTGATCAAATCTAGAAATTGAAAAATATTTCGTGTTTATGAAGAAAAACCGGGAACGCCAATCTCCAAAAACAGTGCATAGAATTAAGATGAATTGCTCATGAATGTTAAAAAGGATAAGGTTTATAATTCTCTTAACCCCTTGTTTCCTGTATATTAACAAGAAATGTCAATTCTCTAATAGAAAATGCCAGGAAATTATAAATTATAATAAATATAAATGTACAATGTAGATCTACAAACAATTTTGTGCGAAGTATGCTTCAGTGCTTCATTGCTATCGATGCAGAAGAATCTGGAAAATCCTAAGACAATATCGAGAATCGCGATGTTGAAATATTGCTGGCTTTTGTAATTTTGCTTTTTTTATTTTAATGTATGTAAAATATTTTTTCTTTAATTTATTTATAGTGTTTTATTTTTTTTATAACCTCTATCAGTCGTGAGTCGCTTAACGGTACGTGTACTATATGGTGTGAAAGATGGTCCATCTTTACAATAAGGCCATTTTGGCCAGAGATCGATGGTTAAGGTCTTTAGACTAGACCAAATGTTGATCAACGACCTTGGATACATGGTTGGAAATCAGATCAGGTTGATTTTTCACCATATAGTACTCGTTTTATTGCATAAAAATTTACCAAACGCGTAGCAAATGGGGAGACCTGTAGGTATACTCGCCCCACGTTAAAAATATATTACGTGTCGGATACAACCTGTCCCCATCCTAAGGGGTAGAGTCTTCGCCTCGTTCACGAAATTCAATATCTATGTTGGAATATTTAAAAGAGTCTGACGACTGAAAATTTCGACTTATTTTATTTTTATTTACGGTGGATGGTTTGTATATTCTGTAAATTATTTATTTATGTTTTTTTTTTTAATTTTATTTTAGTATTTATACACTCTGTCACATATATTATAATTTTAACAAAGTATTAAATTAAAGTATATATTAATAATTAGGTATATTGTGTCTTTTGTACATTGAGTTTTCTATTGTAAAACTAGTTTGGCATGCGTTTTGGAGTGGTGTATGAGTGTGTTTATTTTGTTTAAACTAATGTCTCAATAAGATTGAGTAACAATAATGTTACTCAATTTTATTATGAGTATTATAAAGACGTGTGGACATGTCTGAATTATATTCATATCAAATATCAAAAATATTTTTTTCTCAAATATGCTTGGAAATGTGAGCATTATTTTAACAATCTTCTTCGAGATAAATCAAAATTGCCGTACTGGGCAAGATACATGCGAGCAGCGGCCGGCAAAAGTTGTATTTAAATCCATATCTGTCGTGTTTTGCGGCTAGATAAATTACTATTTAAACTCATATTTGTCCTGTAATTTAAAAATGAAATGACCTTTTACTTTGAAACATGGCTACCAAGGACGTAACTAATACAAAGTTTTATTTAAATTTCGAACTGGCTTGCAAACAGAAAGCTGTTTATTGAAAAAAAAAAACAAACGAACATTATGGCGCGTGAAAAATTATTATTGTTCGTTATTCGTCATTAAACTTAAAAAGTAAAATTGTGTTTTTGATTTTCGCGCATTGTTTGAGAAAAGTACTATACAAGCCTTGGCCACAACTAGGCATTGATGAACTCACTTATGTGTGCCTCGGCTACGCCTCGGTCCACATTTGTACGTTCGTTCATCAATGCCTCAGTTGCTGGCCGCTGCAGTAATGTACTATTAACGGGTATCGAAAAAGGGTCTCCACAATTTTGATCTCATTATCGTCATATCAGCCTTTAGCTGTTCACTGCTGAATATAGGCCTCTTTTATTGGAGGGTTTTGCCAGTAGTTGCCACGCTTGGCAGGCGGATTGGCAACCGCAGTTAGGCTTTGGTGGTGTTTTAATAATTAAGTTGAGATAATTCTAAGGTTGACCCTTTTAAACCAATAAAATATTGGTCTATGAAGTTAATTTATTATTAAACCAACCGTATGATAAAAGTCGAGTCACGAATCGTAAAAAATGAGAATTCATCCTGATTGATTCGTGATTTTTCACGATTTACGAGAATTTGTCATATTTTAATATCGCTATACGCTAGTTGTACTATGTTTGTGGATAAAACAATAAATTTTTTTAATGGGTGATAATGGAATGGTGGGGTTACCATACCCGCGCTATCGCTATGCACCGGCGGGGCACCAGTGAAGGATGATAGGTGAGGATGTAGCAGGTCAGTTAGCCCATCGTGACGAATTCAACAAAAATTGTTCACGATGGTTTCCAGGGGGAACCATGTGGACCTCCAAGTAGTTTCGACCTAATAGGGCATATTGCTGACAATGGGGCTGTCAAACTCCATTGCCAACAATCCCTTTCCCCCCTAAAATAATCAATTACCTTATCTTACATCTCTATTATTGAACATAGGCCTTCCCATAAAGGTAGGATTCGAACTTATTGCCACATAGGCTTGGTATTGTTCTGTTAAGAACTCTCTTCCTCTTACTCTACTCCTGTATCTATTACATTGAATGCAATACCTCCTACTTTATGTTCTTTGTCACCCATTTCTCATCACCAATAATTTTCCAAGGCCCTTTATAAATGCACATTTTAGGCATATCAGAGGGCCTACCATGAAATGTTTTCCGAAATTTCGGATCCGAACGAAACAAAAATTTTATGCTAAAATTACATGATACGTACCGTTTAAAAATATTAAAAATGTTAAAATATCGTTCCTTTGAACTTTTATGGTAGGATTTATGACAAGCGAAATGTTAAGCTCCATTTACGGGTCGATTTCGGTACGAACAAAAACACGAAATTGAGCCCGAAATTTCGAAATTTCATTTCATGGTAGACCCCCTGTTTTAATAATTAGAAGAACTCCCTACCCTAGGGTGACCAGACAAATTTTTGCTAACCCATTGCATGTTCCAAGCATTAAAACAGCTCAGGATTTAAAACGCTGTTTGTTCTGGAGACATACCTTGAAAGGTGGAATAACATTCCAGTCTTACTGCCAATGGGGAAACGTTGGTAGGGACAAATGGAACTGATCTATATTTTTAAGGTGTAGTCGTCTCTTGTAAGATATTGTCAAGATATAAGATCTACTGATAAGTAGTCAACGCAATATATTTTTACTCCGTGATCCGGAGATAAACAATAGTTATCCGACTTTGTCGATTCGTTATAATACACGCTTTGTTGTAATTCACGATTTGTTGATGTGTGAGTGAAGATTCTCTATAAATCTTCTAAAAACCTACATTAATTATCACAATGTTCTGTCACTTTCATTCAAATTAAGAATTAAGCATTTTTTTTGATGGGTGAAAATGGTATGGTAACCCCGCCTGCGCTAACGGGATATGCTGGCGGAGCACCAGTGAAGGGTGATAGATGAGAATGAAAACAGGCCAGTTAGCCCATCATGATGAATTCATCAGGAATTAACCATGATAGTTTCCAGTGAGAACCGTGAGGAGGTCGACCTGGTTGGGTATATTGCTAGCAATGGGATTCTCAGTCTCCATTGCTAACAATCCCTTTCCCCCCAGAATTAAGCATTAAAAAAAGAGACAAAACAAGTCAATAGGTTTTATGAAAGGTTTGACGTTTTTATAAATAAGAGGCTAAAAATATTGTCTTGGCCAGTAATTTATTACCATTACGTGGTATCACGAGAAACTCAAATGTATGTAAATTGTCAAGGTTCTTTCTTTGCTAGTGTTTTTTTTTTTCCAGTGCATTTTCGTGGAGCCCATAAGTTATATGTTGACATTGTCGTTTATTGTTAGGTTTTTTTTTATACAACTTAGAATGGCAAACAAGCTGACGGCCCACCTGATGGAAAGTGGTAACCGTCGCCTATAGACGTGAGCAGTACCATGGACATAACAGAGTACACTGTTTCGCCCATGATACCTCCCATGCGTTGCCATTCCTGAGGACTCAGGTGTTATTCCTCTATACCCTGTAAATTCACGCCATATCCCACCCATCAAACCGAAACACAGCCATGCCAACACAACTGCTTCACGGTTGAAACACGAATGGGTATTGTTAGGTATTTATGAAAATTTAAATTTCCTCTCATTTCATGCATAATTACACTTTTCCACATTTTTATTTTTATTTCAGGATATCTTATTGATTTTATCTTAAGGATAATCTTAAAGGATTTTATGGCTTGTTAAATTTTTTATGTAACCGTTTGTTGTTAAAATTAGTTACACAATAAATGTAACAAGCTATCGAAAACAAACTGACGGTCCTCTTTTTCTCACATTTTTGTTCTTTTATTTTAAACTTATCTCAAAGTTCAACATTAACGTTATGTTTATATATTTAATGGATTTCTATAACATCATAATATTTTTTTTTAACGGATGATAATGGAATGGTAACCCCACCCGCGCTATCGGTATACACCGGCGGGGCAGCAATGAAGGATGATAGGTGAGGATGAAGTAGGTCAGTTAGCCCATCATGACGAATTCAACAAGAATTGTTCACGACGGTTTCCAGGGGGAACCACGTGGAGGTCGACCTAATAAGGCATATTGCAGCAATGGGGCCGTCAAACTCCATTACTAACAATCCCTTTCCCCCCAACATCATAATATTGTCGATTCACCTGCTTCACTGCAAATTATGGAAACCATAACTTACAGAATTGTCACGATGGGTGAATTAACCAGACTTTGTCCTTGTTATCCCTCACTGGTACTCTGCCAGTGTATACCGCTGTTTAGAAACCGTTACATTTGACTCAATGAAATACATCAAAGAAATTATTTTACTTTTAATTCCTGACAAAAATCATAGACCTATACACAGATTTTTTTAAAATATCAAACGCCAATCTTCAGATGAACCAGTCTTCGGCCGCAAACTCGAGGAGGTATGCCCGGAGAAGTCGCCGCGGGTGCCGAACTTCGTCGTGACCTGCATCAAGGAGATTGAAAGCAATGAGGAAAACATGTGCACAGACGGCTTGTACAGAGCCAGCGGGAATTTGAGTCAAGTGCAGAAAATACGATTAGAGGTACGCTGCATTTTGTACTGACAGTTATGCGTTGCTAGTTGTAAATCCGAAGCTTTTCTTGCGCACATTTATTTATTCATCAATTTTTTTCATTCGATTTTGACCAGAGAGAGACTTTGTACAAAAGTCGATTGCTTGGGTACCTCTGTCCCATTCGTGTTTCAACCGTGAAGCAGTTGTGTTTGCATGGCTGTGTTTCGGTCTGAAGGGTGGGATATGGCGTGAATTTACTGGATACAGAGGAATAACACCTGAGTCCTCAGGAATGACAACGCATGGGGGGTATCATGGGCGAAACAGTATACTCTGTTATGTCCATGGTACTGCTCATGTCTATAGGCGATGGTTACCCCTTCCATCAGGTGGGCCGTCAGTTTGTTTACCATTCTAAGTTGTATAAAAAAAAGACTGAAACAATTCATCGTTTGTTTTATTCCTTTATTCGTAAATTCATTAATTGCTTCATTCATCCATTTTTTCACAGAATTTTGACCTACTAGGTTATGTTACATCTACTTGTATATAATTTTCAACCGTGATTACATAGCTGTTTTGTTTTTTTTATACAACTTAGAATGGCAAACAATCTGACGGTCCACCTGATGGAAAGTGATAACCGTCGCCTATAGACATGAGCAGTACCATGGACATAACAGAGTATACTGTTTCGCCCATGATACCCCCCATGCGTTGCCATTCCTGAGGACTCAGATGTTATTCCCCTGTACCTTGTAAATTCACGCCATATCCCACCCTTCAAACCGAAACACAGCAAATGCAAACACCACTGCTTCACGGTTGAAATACGAATGGGACAGAGGTACCTAAACAAACGACTTTTGTACAAAGTCTCCCTCTGGCATTAGAAATTTTAAGCCTTTCTCTTGAATCACTCTATCTATTAAAAAAACCCGCTTCAAAATCCGTTGCGTAGTTTTAAAGATTTAAGCATACATAGGGACGGACAGACAGCGACAGCGACTTTGTTTTATACTATGTAGTGATTAATACTTTTAACTGCAAATTTGCGGTTAGGTTTTTTTTGATGGGTGAAAATAGCATGGTAACCCCGCCCGCGCTAACGGGATACGATGGCGGAGCACCAGTGAAGGGTGATAGATGATAATGAAAACAGGCCAGTTAGCCCATCATGATGAATTCATCGGGAATTAACCATGATAGTTTCCAGGGGGAACCGCGAGGAGGTCGACCTGGTTGGGTATATTGCTACCAATGGGATTCTCAGTCTCCATTACTAACAATCCCTTTCCCCCCTGCGGTTAGGTTAGGTACTTTTAACTGTTATTTCAGTCGAAAGTATTATTGACTAGAGCATACGGTCAAAAGTACTTTTGACTGATTTTGCTAGTCAATAGTAGATAGATAGATAGATAGATAATTTATTTACATTACTTACAGCACACAAATTACAATAAATAAAAAAAACATACACATGATACACAGCAAAAGAGATAAAAGAATGAAAATAAAAAAGCACAAATAAAAAAAAAAAAACAAAATATATAAACTAACAATCTCCTTTCTTTCCCTTCCTTCAGGCGTGTGCCATAGTAACACAAAATGGTCACAACTCAGTTTATTGCTTTGCCCTTAAAAGAGCAAAACACTGATATTCTGTTGTGGCCAAGAGTCAGTCGCGAAACTCCTCATTGAAAATAACAATAAAAAGAAATATAAATGAACTGCATTGTATGTGTCCATTACATCCGTCTTTTGACTGGTTAAGAGTTTTAACTGCAACATACGCATGTTATTAATCTTATATCTTTACCACTTTCAGATCGACCAAAATAACATTTCTGTGATAGAAAACAACACGGATATCCACGTACTGACTGGCTCTCTGAAACTGTTCTTCAGGGAGCTGAAAGAACCTCTCATACCCTGTAGCTTCTTCGATAGGGTCCTCGCAGCTTGCTGTAAGTATAAGTCTGAATTAAAAAAAAAAAAAAATCTGAAGCGTCATAGTCTATTTCTGTCAACTTAACAACTTGTACTTGATATTGTTTACGACACTACGCCGGCATACACAGACCTCCACAGATAGTCGCCTCCGGATTAGAAGCCGGGGTAATGGGGTACGCCCCGAGGCCCCTACCTCGCCCGCCCACACATCATCTGGCGGGCAAGAGACGACCCTGTTGTTCTTGTTATTGTTTACAAGCAGCCCGCCCCGGCTTCGTACGGGTGAAATGCTAAAAAATGTGTTTATTTACGACATCACATTAGAAACCTCTAAATTTATCAGTGTTTCTCTACAATATTCTGCATGTATTATACATATAAACCTTCCTCTTGAATCACTCTATCTATTAAAAAAAAACCGCTTCAAAATTCGTTGCGTAGTTTTAAAGATTTAAGCATACATATGGACGGACAGACAGCGACAGCGACTTTGTTTTATACTATGTAGTGATGACTGTAATTTAAATAAGTATCTACTATTTAATTTTTTTTTTAATGGAAGATAATGGTATGGTTACCCCGTCTGCGCTATCTGTATACACTGGCGGGGCACCAGTGAGGAATAGGATAGGTGAGCATGAAAGCAGGTCAGTTAGCCTATCGTAATGAATGCAACAAGTATCAATCACATTGGTTTCCAGAGGGAACCAAGTGGAGGTCGACCTGACAGGGCTTGCTAGCAATGGGGCCATTAGTGCCCATTACTAACAATCCCTTTCTCCCCACTATTGAACTTGTAATAAATATAGCTAAAACAAAACTATTGTTTTTTACACTACCATCATTGCCAGCAGCAATTCTTTAAAGACGACAAGAAGAATATAAAGTCTTCTTTTTCTATAACCAACCATTTTTCTTGCATACTATATTTTGGTTTGATAGATGAATGAAGGTTCGAAAATTGCTGGGTATAATGATTCAAGATTGCCCTGGATCTGTAACTTGCAGCCATTAAGTTGATCGTATCAGCTATTAACTGCCCACTGCTGGGCATGGGCCTCCCCCATAAGGGAGATTTTGCCAATAGTTGCCACGTTTGGCAGGCAGGTTGGTTCCGCAGTTAAGCTTTGGAGATGTTTTAAAAGACTGCTGTCCATTAAGTTCCCTTGGTTGCTTAGACATCTACGATAAAGGAAAGTGTTGCCAATTCTATACCGGGACCACACAGCTAAATGTTTTATATAAAAATAAAAAAACATATTAGAGCTACCGTAGCTACTTAACATCAGGCGGAATATCTGATATTTATCAGCATAGATAAACACTAATTAATTATTTTTATTCTTTGTTGTTATATACCTACATCCGTCCATTGTAATCTTTGATTTGTTTCACAGCAATAAAACCGAAAGAGGCGAAGGTGAAAGAGTTCAGAGATATAGTACAGGCGTTACCACAATGCAACAGGGACACGCTGAAATTTTTATTAGAACATCTATTAAGGTTAGTTCTTACTAAGTATGGTAACACCATAGTTGTAAAAAGTAAGGTATTAATACCTATAGGAGACTTAGTAAACTATATTCTGTATGCACACTAAAAATACCACTTTATTCTTTATTGCACTAAAACATACAATAACAACAATAAGTTAATAACAATGTTAGCAAAGGCGAACTTATCTCTAAAAGAGATCTCTTCCAGTCAACCTAACACATTTACTGGCGTGAATTTACTGGGTACAGAGGAATAACACCTGAGTCCTTAGGAATGGCAACGCATGAGGGGTATCATGGACGAAACAGTATACTCTGTTATGTCCATGGTACTGCTCATGTCTATAGGCGACGGTTACCGCTTTCCATCAGGTGGCCGTCAGCTTGTTTGCCATTCTAAATTGCATAAAAAAAAAACACAGTGGCATAGGAAGTAATGAGTGGGCAGTAGTAGAACAAAACAGAAATTAAAATAAATATTTACATAATTTATAAATCAAATTTATCTTCTTCTCACACTCGAGAAGCGTGGGGAAATTGCGGATATTTACATATCTAATAAAAATAGCTTCCAGTATGGTCGAGTGCTCTGAACTATTGCGTAAATTAACATTCAATGTGCCCATCAAATCAAAAAGATATTTGACTCTCTAGTGTCATAGAATTATAGACAAAATCTCTATAATTCTATGACTAAAACTCTCTCTAAAATGTTTAATATTGACTTATTTTCGGAAAATATAATATCAACGAGAGGTCACCTGAGCAAGAATTTTTTTGATTCGTACACTGTCTGAGTGTGTATTACATTGATGAAAAGGCCACATTTTAGTCAAGTATTTACTAAATTTTTACTTTGTTTTTCATTATTTTTGTTTTTTGTTCATTCGTGTTTTTGTTGTATCATGTGCCTTTAATCTATTTTATTACTATTTGTGAGAACATGTTAGTGGCTTAGTTTGTAATTCTAAACCACTTCTATTTACATTAATGGTTTTCCTGTAAATAAAAAAAAATAATAAATATAAAGTAGCATAAAATCATGAAACGATTACGTCATAATATTTTTTATGCGAACATAATTTTCAGAATTCTTTTGTAGCAATTGCGGTTTCTCTATGGCATTTAAGTACTCTGTAGCAATAATCGTCACACTTTTGGTGGGAAATGATAATTTCGCGAAATGTCATGTTTCTCATTAAGTTTATTACATTCATTATTGCGTAAACCTGTATTCGTTGACAGTGACATTTTGTGAATTGAATGATTTTCTAATAATGTATTTTTTTACCAAATATTAGTATGGTTAACAGCTAAAGCTAATAGGTATAATGCCTAGTATAATCGTTTCTAGGTATATTAAAAAAATAACTAAACATCTTCTATTTTTTTTTTCATCTGTACTCACCTATCTTTACATTAGTTAAATCTCTCTAAAAATATCAATTTTTCTTATCTAGGTTAGGCATGGATTTGTACTATGATCTTGGTGGCAAACAAGCATATGACCCGTCTGATGATAAACGGGGATACCGTAGCCTATGGACGACTGTAACACTAATTCAATTTATATATACAATTAAAGAGTCGGCTCCGCAAGCGTAACACCAGGAAGTGTTACAGACGTACCTTAACTGTTTGCTATCAGACGAGCCGTATGCTTGTTTGCCACAATAGTATTGAAAAAACATTATTCATTACTGAAGCCAAATTATCATTACGAGAAACACGATAAAAGACAAATCACAACGCTTGCTAACAGATAATTTCAAACAAATAGATCTCTTTTTAGAGATAAGAGATACAATAAGTCATTAATGTGTCATTAAGATACAATACAGGCGAGATAAAAAAGAAAAGATTAGCAATTAACAATCCGAAATAGATAGGAAAATAGTATTTCTGCAGCTGAACAATTTTCTCCAAGGAGAATGATGAATGATGATGAATTTACATTAAATGATGTTACCTTTAAAACTGAACCTTACAATGTTTTTATTCTAGTACCATATGCATTGATACCGATTTATCTTGATGCAGGGTGACGCAGTACAGCGAGCGCAACCGCATGCACACTGCGAACTTGGCGATCGTTTTTGGACCCACGTTACTGTGGGCGCCTGCTGAACAGGCCCATAACATCGCCATCGACTGCATACAACAGAACAATGTCGTCGAGTTCCTACTCAACGAACTCAAAGATATTTTCAGCGAGGACACTAAAGGGAAGAAGAAAGTGTGACTCTGAATCTACCGGGACCCCCGGACTGAACTTTAAGCCCCAATTTGAAGCTACTCTTTTCTTAGTAAACAAAGGAGTGTTTTTACTGTGTAAAACGAAAAAGAGTATAGACTCGATAAAAGATTACTACCAAATACGTGTCAGAAGGAAATATTTACTCCAATGTATGGTGAAGCATGACTATGGGTTATATAGTTATGTAATTCAAGTCTAGCGGATGTGCTCTAAAGGATTTTGGAGTTAAAATAAGGATTATTTTGTAATTAGTGACTAACGGATTTTTGTATGTGGACCGATATTGTGATATGTGACGAATCGTGTTTGTAGTATATTAAAGTCCATTAGAATGAAAGAAAAATTATTATAAAGTTATGATCTCTGTCACAAAACGAGATGCGGAGTCCAAATTTGTTTCTTAAAATTATCATTATTATAATGAACATGAAAATCTGTGTTGTGATTGTGAAGCAATATTGTTACGGAAAGACTGTCCGAGGCTCTAGAAATAATAATATATTCAAATAAATATATATATATATATAAAGATATATTTAATATTAATAAATTAATATGGTTTTCGTGTGATGTAGCAAAATATATCCTGTTTTACGAAGATGCATTATTTTTGGGGCCAAATTTGTACATGTGTCCTGTCACTCGTAGTTTAGGCTCAAAGCCAGCTTGTATTGTGTGCCTTACGCGATGTAAATATTCATCATGGATGATTGTTGTGATACGGTGGAGTGTTGATACTCTTAGTTCTTCGTTATATATATACGTATATAGTAAAATTAAGCGATGCATGCAAATGTGACGGTCTAGTCCCTCCGTTGTTATAAATTGGACTTTATTAAAGAGAAGTTATGGTTGACAACTCAGTTATAATCAGTTAAATACTCAAACATTGAATAACAATCAGAAACGTAATGTTATATGATCATAAATAAGCTAGGAACCAAAGTTTTGTATTTTTGGCTGATAGTGTGTAATTAATTTTATTTGTTACATAGTTATTATTATGGAATTATATATAAACGCAAATAATGCTTGAAAAATAAATATTAGAAAATGAAGTTACGTGAAATAAAACCACTTATTTTAACCTACTATGTTTTCATTTACTTTACTTAATTTCCTTCATCCCCTAGATGGAGCAGTGGGCGTCCACAGTGATTTTCCAGTGGCATCGACCTTGTTTCAGCTCACTTCATGTCCCTCCAGTACTATATCCTTCTGCCTGACCTGTTCGTCGCCAAATCTATTTATTTGTTTACCAATTATAAAAATCAGTATACTTTATCCATCATCATCAATCAGCCTTTATTTGTCCACTGCTCCCCCTAAATATAGGACTCCCCTTAAGGGACAGGGCCATAAGGAATGGGGTCGTTCATTGTTGTAATTTACCATTGGGGGGTTTTGTTCAGGTGGACCGTCAGCTGGGCACCTGTACCGGCTCCCAGGCTGATGCTGCATCAAACGCCTGAAGTAAGCATTCAGCAAACTATGTTTTTAAGTGACTTCCAAAAGAAGACGGCTCTAAACTCGCCTGATATAGACGACATATGAATGTTTGCCGGGTTTGCTTGCCTAAGGAGAAAAGACTTGATTGTTTGTTTGTAATGTATAAACTCAAAAACTACTTAACTGATTTTAAAAATCCTTTTACTTATAGTAATCTTAGCAAGTTGGCATGAATTTACTGGGTACAGAGGAATAACACCTGAGTCCTCAGGAATGGCAACGCATGGGGGTATCATGGGCGAAACAGTGTACTCTGTTATGTCCATGGTACTGCTCATGTCTATAGGCGACGGTTACCGCTTTCCATCAGGTGGGCCGTCAGCTTGTTTGCCATTCTAAGTTGTATAAAAAAAAAAGTTCCTCTGAATATTAATGGCGGGAAAACGGTCATTACCTATTTCAAAATCACACATACATATCGGATATGTATGTATCTTCACTTCGATATTGTGTAACAAATATTTAACATATTCATTGTTGGACAAATAATTAGATATTGTTTTTTTTTTTGTTTTTTTTAATATTTTAAGGGCTTTTACCTTCTTCAGGTATATCAGTCCTAAATTAGATATTGTTAACAAAATATATAAATATAACCCACCCGTACTTGTAACATGTAGTCAGTGTTGCCACAAAAAAAAAACTTGCCATTGACAGGTGTTCAATACATATCCGATGGGGGGAAAGGGATTGTTAGTGATGGAGACAGAATCCCATTGCTAGCAATATACCCAACCAGGTCGACCTCTTCGCGGTTCCCCCTGGAAACTGTCATGGTTAATTCCTGATGAATTCATCATGATGGGCTAACTGACCTGTTTTCATTCTCATCGATCACCCTTCACTGGTGCACCGCCAGCGTATCCCGTTAGCGCAGGCGGGGTAAACATACCACTTTCACCAACCAAAAAAAATACATATCTGATAATGATAAGGATGTTAACACTAGCGGGGCACCAGAGAGAGATGATAGGTGAGAATGAAAAGACAGGTCAGTTAGCCTAACGTGGTGAATTCATCAAAAAATAACCACGATACTTTCCAGGGGGAACCGCGTGGAGGTCGACCTTCGAATATACCCTAATAATATTGATAGTAATGGGCCTGTTAGGTCTTATTACTAACAACCCCTTTGCCCCCCTCAATATATATTTAGATGTCTCCCTACAAAAGTCCGTCCAACGTATATTTATAACTAAACAAAAGAAAACCTAAATTGCCTTATTAAAAATTAAAGGTATTTGAAGTAACAATTGACGTCTAAACTTGTATTGAACACCTGTCTATCGCGAGTTAAACTTTTATGTGGTAAGACGGACACTTTGCTTACCATAATCCAAACTTATCAGCCGAAACAATGACCTGGGGATCATTGACCTTCTTGTCTCCATCTTCTGGTTATCTGAGAAAGGCTGTACACAACAGCAATGGACGAATTTAATTCTGCTATAAAATTATTTTATACACTCGCCAATAGACAAACTCGGGGGAAGGGTATTAGTAATGTGGACTACCAGTCCCATTGCTAGCCTATATACCCTGTCAGATCGACCTCCACGTGGTCCCCGCTAGACACCATCGTACAGAATTCCAGGTGTAATCTTCACGATGGACTAACTAACCTACCTTTTCATTCTCACCTATCATCTCTCACTGGTGTCCCGCCAGCGTATATTAAAAAAAAAGGCAAACTCATTTGTCTCAAAAAATTATTGTAAAATGGCAAATAAACTAACTTTTTATTTGATAAAAAGCCGGAATGGCCGGTTATAAACATGAAAACCAAGCACTATGGGACATCATGGACACTCTATTACGATATATTGCTAGCAATTGGACTGATAGTCCGTATCATTAGCAACCCCTTTATCCCTTTATCCTTACCGTTACCCTTACATATCCTGTAATCTCACTATCGTGTCCCTTCAAATCGAAACACAAGTATGCAAACAGCTGTTTCACAACAGAAACACGCGGGACAGAAGTACAAACATACAATTTTTATATAGGATATTTTAAATATAAAGGCCCTTTATTATGCTTCCATAATATCTATTTAATTTCCATTTAAATACGTCATAAGTGTCTCAAGTTGGTAGCAAATTCAATAATAAACATCCTTGACAATATTATAAATGTGAAAATGACATTGTCTTAGCGTCTTAACAGTTTAACCAATTACTATGAAATTTGGTATGTACAAGCTATAGTGAGGCTTGAGGAGGTAGATTTCATTTTATCCCGCGCAGTGCCGAGTAAAAAACAAGTGAATTTATAGTTTAAAAGGACAAATGAAAAAAAAAATACACACAATATTGCCAGTACTGTATTTATGCAATTAATTTTATTATAATTTTTACAAATGACAAATTATTATTTCAGTTACATTTTCTTCATAATTTTCGCAGTCTTATTATTCTTTACTGTATAATCGGACATTTTATTTGTCAATTACAAAAAAAAAATACAATTAGGAATGTATATTATCTGGTGATAAACTAACAAGAAAATTACATATTCGAAATTTAAATTATTTTAAAATTATTGCTCAAAGAATGTACGTAAAAATAATTAATAATCTAGTAAACTTTAACTAAAAAAAAAAATAACGATCAATTTTAATCTAAAAATAAGGCTAAATTACATGCATATTAGGACCTATTATATAATAATAATTATATAATCAACATAATAAAACATATTACATTCAGAATCCGCAGTAATCCTTATAAAATATTGAACAGTTGCTTGATAGCACTCTACTCGCATCGGGTTAATAATATCATTGCAAATCCGTCATCAAAACATGAATCCAAGCGTCCCATTCGTTCTTGATATAAACTTTATAACAAATTATAACTATACACGTAGATAACAATTTAATGATGCATTCAATGACATATTAGTTATAATAGAAAAATTACAGAAAATAATATCAAATTTATTATATCAAAATTAGTCTTATTTTGGATATAATACACATAAAATGGTCTCGGTGTCTTCCATTAAGCAAGTATTAATCACATGCATCTAGATTGGGCATTCAATCGTCGAATTTCCCAAACAAAATATTAAATAATGCCTCAAAAAAAAAAAACTGTCAACTGATAGATAATTCTTTTTACAAATCAGCGCGCCATTTTTTAGTGTTGCAAGTAATAATAAGTGAGTGGAGAATTTATTGACATAAGAATAGGTACAATATTCGACTATTTTTGTCCATCTAGACGCACGTAATAATTATTAACCATTGCGTTAATTTACTATGATTACATAGTTTAATGATATCGACAACAACCTATAATTTAATGACATAAATAATAATAATAAAATAGAAATTATTTCTGTCATAATTTATTCACTTTTACAATTTAAATGTGTATTATTAATAAAGTAAAATTACAAAGCTACATTTTTTATAAAAGAACCGTCCCACCTGTGTATGAATTAGTTCGCGTGACACAAAATATGGCATTTCATTACAAGCATGTCAACACTAATGCCAATATTATATATTCACGGCCATAGTTTACACAATACCAATAGAACAGTTATTGCGTAAATTAATAAACCTATATTTATAATAAGCCAGTGTAAAAAAGCTATCTAGTATATCAATAAATTTACAAAGCTCATGTATTATTTTATTTATTACATATAATATATCGACGGTATGTATATTTGTTAGTTGATTTATAGCAGCCATCCATCACCAGATCTCATCACGAGCCCGTGTATAGTTTATAACACGAAATATAACACCTAAATTCCCTTTGCACTGTTTATAAGATATGAACGACGTGATTCCAGAGTAAACATGTTTTATATCCATATTTTTTTTTTTTCATAATCATAATATATTTTATATGAAAAATCTTCTAAATAACAATAAAAACATTTTTGGGATATTACAAAGTTAGAAACACTTAAGGAATTTATTAATTTTTCTCATTTTTTAAACTGTGCATTATGGATAGAGGCCATGATCGCCGTTCCGTTTACTATCTGGCTCAAAGGTTGTCTCTGGCGGTCTAACGTAGAAATGCTGCAAGCATTATGGGAGTCTTTGGATCCGACACGGATTTTGGAACGAGTAAATAATTTTAACCAATTGCTAATTTAATTATTTTTTTATTTAAGTAATATTTGCCATTATTAATATATATATATATATATATTTTTTGTCATTTTAAAAATTGTAACATAAATATTTTAAATGAAACATTAATTTTTAAATTAATCTTTAATGATGTGTCATTTACAGCATCGTATTTGAAAAGAGTAAACTTAATGACGCTCAAAAGGATATCAGAAATTTCCTTAACTGGTTGGAACTCCTATCTATTGAATAAATAAAAAATACGATTCGGGTCAGTGGGCAAACTTTTACTTTGTATGGAAAGCCAGGGCCATTCTAATACCACAGACTGCACTGAAATTTCAGTTAAAAAGCAGTACTAGCAGAAGAACGAATTCGGAGCGTTGTATGTTGTTTTATTTTTTTCTATCTCTGCAATTAATATATCACGTAATAACATTTTTATTATTTCATTCAATCATGTAATAATTATTTATCTGAGAATAATTAATTAATTCATTAATAATTTAATTAATATTCATTAAATCAATTCTTTAGCTTATCACCAAATTATAGCAAATAGAAAATAGTTGTTTTTGTGAACACTTGTCTTGTCCTCATTTACCAAACATATTTGAATGTCTAAATGACATAATGATGAAGGCTAATGATATAAATTATTATTTATATATTATTTAAATTATTGCACCGTCGATATATAATATTATGACATGCATAAAAATGTACGTCAAAATTTAAAATGTATAAAATCCAATTTAAAAGAGGTAGAAAAATTCGATGACAAAATCTTCAAAAATGGAATGGAAATAACATTGGCCAGTTATAATATATTGGGAAAAAAACCTATTCAGCCATATTATACAATTGCATGCGGACATAATAGCGGACAACTAAGCTAAATTTATTTTGACGCAATTTTCCTGCAAGTGTAATAACGATAAATTTCTACATTTCACAACAACACGTCGTACAAAACGTCCTGAATGTACAAATATATAAAAATGTGCATAAAATGTTCCAAAAATGTGTATCAACAATCCATTTGTTCCGCCGCTAACCACTACGTACTATATAATAAAAAAATTGATAATACTAACAATTATCGCAAAAAAAAAGTAAAAATCTACCAATAAATATACTTATTATATAAATGGATATTCTCTTTCTACGTACTTTTTATAAGCTCTATTCGTTTTATATAAGCATCACTTTCCGTCTGACAGTAATATTGGGACTATTTAGAACACTGATTTAAAATTAAAAGTATATTATAAAAAAAAAAATATTAATCTGGCAATGTTTATTTCGCGCGGAAATCAAATTTTATCATTATAATCTGACAAGTATTCCAAAGACAAACTATCATTGCTAAGGATTTTAATTTTATTCTTTTTTTATTAATCTGCATTCTAGTTTTCTTCCATTTACTTTTTTTTTTGTTTGTTTTTTTTCCTTATTATTGCTCTTATTTTACTATGGTATATATATATTTTTTTTAGATTAAATAAATTTTGATTTAACGTATTTAACAATATATACTTTGATAAATTTATCGATCGGAATTCCTTTTTAGAAATACACTATTATTATATACTTACTCAAAGAAGCTATATTTATTTTCAATTAAAAATAAATACACAAACAATCGTATGCAGCCAACGCCATATGCCAATCGCGTGGTTGAAATTTTAGCCAAGAAACACAAATTATTTCTTGAAAATATGCATTAAAAAAATATTCATTTGATAAAATAAAATCTCGTGCATTCAACTTGGTCATTGTTTATCTTCAATTCAGTGTAAAATTAAATAATATTTATCACAATATTTACAATAAAAAATCACTCGAAATCAATTTGGAATATTTTTTATTTAGAAAAAAAAAATACGCAATGTACGTAATATAAATACAGTCCCAACATTTCTTTCAGATTTCTTTTAATATAAAATATTTTCTTAATTTCTATACTTCCGCGATACAGTGACATTGTTTCTTCATGAATAAAGTAATTTACTGAATTGGAAATTGAATTAAATTGTTTAATAACTATATATAACAAATATTTATTACATGCATGTGTATATTTCAACAAGTGCAACGTCTCTCTCAGAAACTAATATAGGTATAAATAATAATAGTTCAAAGAGATCTAAATCGAGGAGACATTTCCGGTGACACGTTGTCGAAAATAAATCTCTATATTTACGTATAAACATATTTATATTATTTCGACAATTCATTGAAAATAACGTAAGCGTAATTTAGTGCCGACCTTGATATCGAAGAAATACGTGGCTTATTTTATTACGAATACTATTAATAACATAATACCACGATATTTTCGTCAAACTATAAATCGATCAAATGTCAAGGAGTATGCTTGTTACAAATGATTTTTGTTATTCAACTTAGAACGGCAAACAAGCTGACAACCCACCTGATGGAAAGTGGTAACCGTCGCCTATAAACATGAGCAGTACCGTGGACATAACAGAGTATACTGTTTCGCCCATAATACTCCCCATGCGTTGCCATTCCTGAGGACTCGGGTGTTATTCCTGTGTACCCTGTAAATTCACGCCATATCCCACCCTTCAAACCGAAACACAGCCATGCAAACACAACTGCTTCACGGTAGAAACACGAATAGGACAGAGAGGGCAAAGCAAACGACTTTTGTACAAAGTCTCCCACTGGTAAGATGCGAACTGTTGTGCGCGGAAATAAAATTCAAATAATCAAAATACGACTTTTAGATATGTTCAAATGACTTCGATGTGATCATCATACGAAATCATGCTGCGTAGAGTATAAAAAGCATCCAATATTTTTCAATAAATAGCTCGGCTAATATTGCGTGTAGAGCGTAGATACTACATACAGGAAATGATATGTTTGCAGTATTTATATGACGGGGATATAAACCCGAACCTTTGGAATAACATCATCTTAAATATGAACACTGCAAATAGTTTTTTTTTTTCTATAAACCTACTATTAACTGCGCACATACAGTAACTATCAGCTTGTATCTATTTTGTCTCAGAACGCAAGAAACAATGACGCATTTACTGACGTCATTAGGACCTTTTTGCATATTTTCAATCGACTTCAAAAAGGAGTTTATCTATTTATTCATTTATTTGTTTAGGCGTGTCAACAAACATACATTAAAAAAACTAAATATAGTATTTGCATCAATTATAAATATGCACAACATTGAAATAATACATTGATACAAAAAGAAGTTAATATATAAAAAATACAAATAAAACTGTTTATAACTACTCCTCTCCATCCAAAGGTTGCCTGGAAGAGATCGCTCTCAGTGATAAGGTCGCCCATTGTTTTCTCACTGTGATTATTTCTTGTAATTGTTTGTATCTATAATAAGTTTACTATTGTAATCTTTTGGAGGAAACAATAAAGAGTATCTATCTATCTATCTACATATAAAAGTGTAGGGCTGACATACAATACTTTTAGATTATCAATTTAAAATGAAATTCAAATCGAGTGTGTATATACGTGTGTTGCGTGAAATCTATGCCTCTTCAATTCTGCACCGAATTTACAAGTTTGCTCCCGTTTTAGTCCAAATTGGAAAAAAAGGAAGATAAAGGGTAATTTTCAGCAAATGGGACCCGTTCAACTTTAGTAGACTTTTCAACTATCCTTTTAACTTCTAGTCCCCAGAAAAACCAATGGTACTAAAATATATTTTAATGTTTTTTAAACACAAACCATGCTGTGATTGTGACTAAATGTCAGAACAGTAAGCCATAATTCACAGGTGTATTGTATTGACATGTTTCGCTATATCTTATGTTGGTGATACTATAAATAAAAAAAATAGAAGGAAGCATAGTATAACATACTTTCCGGGGACATCATCATTTACTGAAGATTTGAAACCAAAAAGTTCATCAAAATTATACAGAAATCTCCCTTGGTAAACATCACCCCAAATTTAATATTTTTATTTTCCATATTCCTAAAAACTCATAATTTAAAATTTAATTCTGCAAAAAAAACCTAGCTACTCCAATTACAAAAAAATCGACTTCAACTATGACGAAACTAGATATTTTGATTTAATTAAACTATTGAACCGATTTTGATAAAACTTCTGAGTTCGAATTGTAAGTATAACCTTTCAGATAAAAAAAGAATTTTCTAAATCAGTTAATAACTGACTAAGTTATGAGGTAACAAACATAAAAAAAAAACGTATAAACGAATTGAAAACTTTCCTTTTGAAGTCAAATTGTTAAAGATTATTTTTTATGCAACTTAGAATGGCAAACAACCTGACGGCCTACCTGATGGAAAGTGGTAACCGTCGCCTATAGACACGAGCAGTACCATGCACATAACAGAGTAAACTGTTTCGCCGACGATACCCCCCACGCGTTGCTATTCCTGAGGACTCAGATGTTATTCCTCTGTACCCAGTAAATTCACGCTATATCCCATCCTTCAAACCGAAACATAGCCATGCAAACACAACTGCTTCACGGTTGAAACACGAATGAGGTACCCAAGCAATCGACTTTTGTACAAAGTCTCCCTCTGGTGAAAGATACCATATAACACCCGTAAAAATACAGATACCTTCAATCTTTTAAAAATTACATTTAAAATATACAATATTTATCAATACTATTGACGTATTCTCTTACTTTGATGAAAGTTTTGGATAAAATTATAAATACAATAAATTATGTATAAAGTAATAACGGAATAACATGAAACGAATGGAAATAACAATACAAAATTAACGTGAATCGATTTGATTTTTTTTTCCGTTCTTTTAGTATTAGAAAATTACTACTTTTTCCAAATGTGATCATATTTAGGAGTTATTTGTTTGGATTGCTTCAAGGATCAGCGGAGTAGCTAATGGATGTCCTTGGCTCTTGTCACGCGATATGGTAATATATTTGTTGTCATATTTCTATTTTTTGTTTCGGATTTTATTGTACGTCAACATAAGTGTAATATGATTCATGGGCTTACATTATATAGATAGAGTGTGTCCACATAAATGCATCGAGAAAAACGGCTCAACTTTTTCATTTTTTTTCCCGAGTCCTCAGGAAGGGCAACGCATGGGGGTGTCATGGGTGAAACAGTATACTCTGTTATGTCCATGGCACTGCTCATGTCTATAGGCGACGGTTTTCCATCAGGTGGGCCGTCAGCTTGTTTGCCATTCTAAGTTGTATAAAAAATATACAATTTTGAATGATAAATAGTTAGAAGTGATTCTTTTATAACTTCGTTAGTTATTTTGTTTTACAATTTCTGCATCTTTTTAATTAGTGTGTACTTATTTTCTTTATTAAATAATATGTCAAGATACATTTTACGCGTAAGTGAACAGTGATAAAAAAACGAATCAGCTAATTTGACGATTAGATGACAAAAAGTTGACCCGTTTTTGAGTCTTATTGGTCAATCTAATTAATCTAAGTTCATGAATAATATTTATAACAGAAGTATTTATATCTATGTAGTAGAAATTTAAAATTACCTAAATTGTAATACCTCTGACGTACGTACTGTTAATCTATAAGGTATCTGCTAGCTTGTTTGACATTCCAGATTGCATAAAAAAATATATACGTTGATATATAGTACGTTTATAGAACATTACTGCAGCGGCCAGCAACCGAGGCATTGATGGACGAACGTGCAAATGTGGGCCGAGGCGTAGCCGAGGCACACATACGTGAGTCCATTAATGCCTAGTTGTAGCCAAGGCTTGTATGGTACTTTTCTCAAACAATGCGCGGAAATCAAAAACACAATTTTACTTTTTAAGTTCAATGACGAATAACGAACAATAATAATTTTTCACGCGCCATAATTTTCCTTTGTTTTTTTTTTTCAATAAACAGCTTTCTATTTGCGAGCCAGTTCGAAATTTAAATAAAAACTTTTATTAGTTACCTCCTTGGTAGCCGTGTTTCGAATTACATTACAGGACAGATATAAGTTTACATAGTAATTATTCTGGCCACAAAACACGACAGATATGGATTTTCATACAACTTTTGCCGGCCGCTGCCCGCATTTATCTGGCCAGTACGGCAATTTTAATTTATCTCGAAGAAGATTGTCAAAATAATGCTCACATTTCCAAGCATGTTTGAGAAAAATTATATTTATTACACTTATATAATTTTGATTGAAGTACTCAATTCAGTATTTTTGACACCATGTTTATTTTATAAGTAAATTCATTGTTATTTCAAAAAATATTTTTTATTAAACAGGTAACAAAATGTTACGTAACACAATTATTGTATGTAAAATAGTTGTATGAGAATTGTTGAAATGTATGTAAGTGCATAGGTCGTTGATAAAACAACGATTCGGTTTTTGACGTAATTAAAATATATACGTATGTAGTTAAAATCATATTGTTCAAAATATTTATAAATAATATTGTCCAATTCATTTTTGTTATTATAGGTACTTAAATTAATTAAATTATGTAGCAAAATATAAATGAACTATAATCAACTGTAGGTAAAAATATCTTATAAGTAATCAAATATTTTTAATATACCGATGTAAATATAAAACATCCATTAAAATATAAACAGTAAATAACAATGTAGTTATTTCTAATCTCTCTCAGTTCATTATGAAGAGGAAAAATACTAATAAAATTTATTTTCATTAAGGTAAAAACGTAGAAAGCGCTTAACACGAAATAAACCCGAAACATTACGTGACAAATTAGTGTAGGAGTGTCCCGGGCGGACTAATTAGGTAAATTCACTTAGAAACAACATCACTGTCGCCCCGTACCTATGTCTCGACACTATAATGTGTATAATAGGTAACGTTACTACGACACGGTCGAAAAGCGGGCCTCCGTAACCCTTCACAACTAATTAGGAACATTTTTATACAAAAACAAAAAGAAACAAATATTTACGCTACACTATCTAATAACATGTTCATTGTTTTATAACTAAACAAAGCACAAATAGTCCGTGGCACCAATATGTTACTATAAAAATATTAACAGCTGTCTCACTGGTGCTAAATCTCGTCGGAATCGGAGCGTATTGAGTCGTAATTTGAAGTTTTGCTTCTTAACATCCTGAGGAAGGAGCCCACAGCGAATATCGTTCTTCGGTGTCTGTGAAATATACCCTGATATAAAGCTTCCCTTAACGCCTTCCTGTCGTCTGTAATCGAAGGTTGCGTACTTAATGTAACGTCGGAATGTGCCCCGATAGCCTTCTGATGTCGAAGACTGCCGTGCTTCTTCTCTAAAGATTTCTGATTTGGCAAACTCATTGTAGATTCTATTGAGGAGTTTTTTGTTTTTCTTAAATTCAGTATTTTCTTTCCTGACGACTGCGTCTCGGACGTAGACCGCGATGGTGCCAGTTTAGACCTATGTAAAGGGTTGTTCGAACCTTCTGGATGGACCATAATTTCTACTGACTTTTGACTGACGGCGCTCGACCTCGTTAACGTTCTTTGGTGGGATGTCGTGGGCTCCGATTTCGGGACCTCTTTAGGCATTGACTGTTCAGCTTCCACGGCTATCATATTTACTATATGGCTTGCTGAATTTGGATATATAATTAATTTAATAATGGACAGGATGATTACATCATAGGCGGGCGGGCCTCATCAGCACTATCAACAGAGGGCACAGTCAGATGAATCACAACGTCAGTATTGCTTGGCTGATCGCTTCTTGTACGGTTTTCGCAGCAGTTGCTAAATGTTATGGTCGGCACTTTACCATCACTATCAATGTTAACCGTATTCAGGTTTTGTGCTAAACAATCTAACTCAGAGTCTTTATCTTTATTTTGGTCATCGGAGTTTGCGCTCATACTCGGAATGAGCCATTCCTTCTCATCTTCAGGTGCTCTATCTATGTCTGGCGAGGAGACGAAGTCATCACGGTTCAAAGTCGGGGTACAACTTTCACCATTCACGTGTAGTCCTATCAGTCCAGCCAAGTTTACGTTGAAGTTTTTGTTTCTACTCGACTCCTTGGTTTCTTTTGGAGTTTGGACCTCCTCGGAGATAATACGGTCTGTGATTGTTTCTATCTCAGTCTGCAGGGCTTGGTCATCTTCATAAAATTCAGAAAGACCTTGAAGATTTTCGTACCAGCTATTACTAAGCAAACTTCCCGGAGGGACTTCTTTCTGTTCAATATGCGCTTGACGATAGTTATCAATGAGTGGTTGCAGCGACTCTTCGTGTTGGTGAAACAGGTATTCGTAGGCCTGGCTCACCGCATACAATGAGTAGGCAGATCGAGGTCTCGGCACCACTGATGCTGATGATTTATATGCCAAACAACCACGCCACACGTGACCATGCGAACGCTCGCTCAGTATTGTATTACAATTAAGAATCCTTTCAAAGTCCGACACTTGCTCGGCTTCGCTGATCTGCAACAACAATTTGTTCTCCGTCTCTTTCCCGCAGCCGACAGTCTGACACAGCCTCTTGTTGTCGCTGACCTGTTTGGAAGGATTAGGTGATTTAGTTTTGTTAACATCGATTTCTTTTGTATTGCATAAGTTCTGTGCCGGTTTGGAGTTTGAATGTCTAGGTTTGGGATTGTCGGCATACTTCATGGGTATTGAGAGCGTTTGGACTGATACGTTGAAGGGTACTTTCTCTATTAATTTCCTGTTCTGTTTTTTAACGGTTATATCGCAAGGTCTGACACGTTTCTCGCTGGACGGGAGCCGATTACGGAAGAACTGTTTCTCAGAGCGAAAACGATTGTGGTCCGCGCTTCGAACGTTACGTGCATATTGCGATTTGGGTCTTTCAACTAAACAGACGCTTTTGGCTCGTAAGGGTATATCAGCGCGTGCCTCACTAGCGGTAGCCAGTTTCGCCCTCGCGGGGTGGTGTTTAAGTTTTAATCGGGTGTTTATTTCGGATGTATCGTACATGTGCACGAGCGGCAAGCGAATATCGTTCCGAGTGACTGCTCTCCGCGCCGGCATGCAGAGTTCTTTGCAAATTGTGAAGAGTGAGCGTAAAAATTAAATTATTGTGGTAGCGTGCGGCGGCCGATCGATTTCCATTATTCCGCCGTATACAAACGCGCATAAAGTTCAACCACTGTTCGATGCTCGTACAGTACAATGACAGTTTTATGCGGTTGATTTGTACTGGTATCGTGCATGCTTTTTAACCCAGATCGTACTGATTTATTAGGTCGCCGATTGGAAGAAAAATGTTGCGTAATTAAGTCATGGGTACGACTAACCGTAATATTTTGTTATTACGTTTATTAGATTGTTTGTTTCTTTTGTATTAGCATACCCAATGTGCTCGTACCCTAGTGACATTGTAACTAGAAAGACAATATGTACTGTAGGGAGGAAAGGGATTGTTAGTAATGGAGACTGAGAATCCCATTGCTAGCAATATACCCAACCAGTTCGACCTCGTCGCTGTTCCCCCTGGAAACTATCATGGTTAATTCCAGATGAATTCATCATGATGGGCTAACTGGCCTGTTTTCATTCTCATCTATCACCCTTCACTGGTGCTCCGCCAGCGTATCCCGTTAGCGCAGGCGGGGTTACCATACCATTTTCACCCATAAAAAAATGTACTGTAACATACTATCAATTTAATGACCTATATTGTGATATTCGCACACTAAAATAAATATAATTATAATAGAGATTTCAATTGAGTAATCTTACATATGCATCCATACATCTTTTCGCGACCTTAGCACCATACACATCCTGATGAGAGAAGGTATTATTAATATTGTTTTTTTTTTTAAGTGATGACATAAAATGGCAACTCTGCCTGCGCTATTGGTTTACACTGGTTCCCCAGTGAGGCCTGATACGTGAAGATGAATCAGATCAGTTAGCCCATGTAATAAATGGCTAATGAATAAAATAAATTAATAAATGAATTATAATACTTCTATATTTGTAGGTACTTATTTTAATAATTATTTACATTACGTACTAACTACAGTTAAACACTGGGAACATTTAATAACGAAAAACTAAGCCCTTTTTGTTACTATGTACTTCTGAATGTACTGAATATTAGGTAACCACGCTACTAGCTCCAAGATACAGGTCTGACCCAGTTTGAGGACTTTGTGTTGGTAAGACAGACTTCTCATGAAATAACTTCAAATAAATATTTGTTCTGAATCTTTACCATTTCTTTCGGTAATAAACACTATTTTATTATTTTATAACTGTCGCGTTTCTTGTGATTACTTCTCTAGAAATGATAAGTTTATGAAAATAATGTAGAAACAATAATAAATAACGATTGCAAGGGTCTTTCGTATGTCTTCTTAAAGTTTATTTTTAATTTGATTTATTTATTTATTTATTATCTATTTAAAACGCCTCTAATATCGTCACCTCTATGGCAAATTTACGAATCTGCAGTTTTTTTCAAATTTGACATTTCTTTAAAAATCTACATTTTGCGTATATTACATACTACTTATTGTGGTTTATTTTCAAATTTCTATCCCTAACGGTTAAAAAAATCGAGTAGCTCAAATCTTTATATTTTGGTGAACCCAAAGTAAACTTACTTAGCATATTTTTATAGTATTTTCTATAATAAACACTTTAATTTGAAAATTTCAAGATTCAAGATTGAAGATTTATTTATTTGTAAAACATGCGTATAAATACATGCAGATGTTGACAATATAATAACGTTCGACATGTTTAGCCTGTACGGCGTACAAACATATGAGGTTACACAGATAGTTCACATTATACATCAAGTCCATTTTATACCATTAATCGTCATCACATTACAATTTTCAAATACATTTAAATAAATAATAATTGTCAGTCAAAATTAAATTCAATTCAATAATTATTTTATTAATTTTTCAATCCTAATTTAATTATTTTACATGAATGATTGCTATAACGTTTTTATTTAAACTGAAGTTCTCTACAAAACACATGATTTATACCTTGGTATATTTACGAAAGTGGCACTTTCGTTAGTTTGCCAGATATTAAAATAAATGATTTTCTTTGGCACCTTACGAAACTGCCACTTTCGTAGATTTGCTGTTGTATAACTCAATACCTAGAAACTCTCATGTATGAAGGCGCAAAGTAACGAATATGCATTTATTTCTGATACTTGTAATATAATAATAATTAAGCGCATTCAATAAAAAACAGGATTTTAAAACTAAAATGTTAGCATTATCTTTTACAGTAGTCTTCTATCAAAAGTTATTTGCATTCTAATGTTTCGAAACGTTCCCCTGTAAAATGTATCTTTTTCAGTTTCGTAAGTTTACCATAAAGGTAACGATATGACAGGAGACGTTTTTTTATTGTTATTGTGGCCAGAGATTGATCACGATCTCACCTGACGAAAAGTAATGATGTAGTCTAAAATGGAGTTCGCAGACTCACTAATAGAATTGATCTAAATTATTGTTATGAAAGGGATTGTTAGTAACGGGGAAGTTAGTCCCCATTGCTATCAATATACCCTATCAAATCAACCTCCACGCGGTTTCGCCTGAAAACTGTCGTGATTCATTTATCGTTGAATTTGTCACGATGGGCTAACTGACCTGCCTTTTCATCCTCACCTGTGCCCCTCACTGGTACTCCGGCAGTGTATACTGATAGAGCAGGCGGGGTTACGATACCCTTTACATCCATTAAAAAAATATATTGTTGTTATTTGTTGCAAAATATGCAAAATGTTGTTCTATTGCCATATCTAAAAAAATATTTCCTCTACGACGACGGGCAAAACCGTTTGGATTACAAAGCGTTCATGACCAAAAACTTACTTTTATTTGTATTTTGGTTTTTATCACAATTTTGTTATAGTTCAATGCCAAAGATTTCAACCATGACGGAATTCTCGATCAGCAAAGTGTTAACGCATTCTTTTTTTTCTTATACAACTTAGAATGGCAAACAAGCTGACGGCCTACCTGATGTAAAGTGGTAATCGTCGCCTATAGACATGAGCAGTACCATGGACATAACAGAGTATATTGTTTCGCCCATGATACCGCCCATGCGTTGCCATTCCTGAGGACTTAGATGTTATTCCTCTGTACCCAGTAAATTCACGCCATATCCTACCCTTCAAACCGAAGCACAGCCTTGTAAAAACAACTGCTTTACGGTTGAAACACGAATGGGATAGAAGTACCCAAGCAATCGACTTTTGTACAAAGTCTCCCTCTGGTTCAAGAACAATACAAGATGGATATATAAAATTATAAATAAGATACATGTACCGATTACATATAGTAAAAAATATCTCATTGAATCATTTTTTTAAAAGAATATTAAATATTTCATTCCTGTATTCCGCCCTTATCTAACTCTGTATCAAATAATTGCAATAATTTCCCTTAAAGTCTTTAGAGACTACAGTACAATCAAAACCCAAATCTTTATTCGCACGTAGCAACAGGCAAATTTATTTAGCAGTTAATTATACCACAACCCTATGGTTATAATAACTCGGTAGTTAACATACTCGCGTAATCGAGCCACGCTCTATAATTGGAAACATTAAATAACATGACACGACATAAATCTATGGGGTAAGGGTTAAATAATAACCCTGAATGGGTGTGAAATTTCGTTGCTTATCGTTTATGACTAAAATAAACTCTGTAGTCACTTAGATCCCCTATATCAGGGATGGCCAACCGGTCGATCGCGACTATTAGTCCAGCGGATCGTGGCAAGGCAAACAATATAATATTTTGCTAATCTAGCGGAAGATGCTCACACGCAATGCTCTCACTAGGAATGTTATTGTTACAATTTCAAGAAGTATGTAAATGGTAGTCCGCACAGGGTTTCGTCAGTAAAGGTCTTGGGTCTAGTCAAGTCCGCTACCTGTTGTTTTATACAACTTAGAATGGCAAACAAGCTGACAGTCCACATTATTACACCTATTGTTTATAAGAGAGAAAGAGAGAAGAGGAGGATTTTCTAGAGTCTGAGAATATGTAGATCAGAGGGAGACTTTGTACAAAAGTCGATTGCTTAGGTATCTCTGTCCCATTCGTGTTTCAACCGTGAAGCAGTTGTGTTTGCATGGCTGTGTTTCGGTTCGAAGGGTGGGATATGGCGTAAATTTACTGGGTACAGAGGAATAACACCTGAGTCCTCAGGAATTGCAACGCATGGGAAGTATCATGGCCGAAAGAGTATACTCTGTTATGTCCATGGTACTGCTCATGTCTATAGGCGACGGTTATCATTTTCCATCGGGTGGGCCGTCAGCTTGCTTGCCATTCTAAGTTGTATAAAAAAAAAAAGCCAATTCTATGCCGGGACCACACGGCACATGGTCAAATGACCTTAAATTTAATTCTAGTAAAATACTTTTTATTCTAATTTACGCAGGAAAAGCCGCAGAAAATATCTAGTATTATTTTAAATTATACAACAATTGGTGTTGAATTATTATCACTATTCAATACTGTACAATGCCACAGGTGGGAAAGGGATTGTTAGTGATGGAGACTGAGAATCCCATTGCTAGCAATATACCCAACCAGGTCAACATCCTCGCGGTTCCCCTGGAAACTATCATGGTTAATTCCTGATGAATTTATCATGATGGGCTAACTGGCCTGTTTTCATTCTCATCTATCACCCTTCACTGGTGCTCCGCCAGCGTATCCCGTTAGCGCAGGCGGGGTTACCATACCATTTCCACCCATCAAAAAAAAAATACAGTACAATGCCACAGACGTATTTTTATACTTACCCGTCTTATTAGTAGTCCTTGTAAACAAAATGTTCTAAGTCACATTAATCTTTAATTGACGAAAATAATCCTTGAGTCATAAGCAATAAGGTCTATGAACGTTAATGACTTGGTGTGAATATTTTAAATAATCGATATTGGGTAAATAAATTATAGGAAACTGTCTACGAACTGTTCTATGAACGTATAGGGTACAGGCCAGTGGTGCTCAAACGTTTTTTTT